TATAAGCGCCTGGCCCAGATGGAGAGGTGCATAGACAATATAAAGGATCTGTTCTATATACATGAGCTTCATGTCCGACAACGTCTCCATGAGCATGTAGAACAACGGGGGGAAACGTATAAGTATGCTTGCAAGGTTTTTGTAAAGACATAAAAAAACAAAACAAAAACCAAGAGCTCAGAACTGTGACCGGAACTCTGTCGAGACGGTGAAAAATGCCCTGTTCAACCCTGAACGCCTGTCAAAACTATAAACGCCTTGTTTATCTGCATGCAGATGAATATTCTTTTTTTGGGGTCCGCGACGATACTGCGTCTTTTTTTTCGTAGACGCTTGATTCCAGCCATAATAGATCGGGATAAGGGAATTGATTCGCTTTGGTTATGCAATCCTTGGTTGGGCGCCAGAGAAAGAAATAAACAAACAAAACCGAAACTAGATGTTTTTAATTCGAAGGGGGGTCGTGGGGTAAAAAGTTGCCGACGATGAGAGCAGGCCTGAATTCGGGTCAATTACAAGTCCATGGACATCAGAACAACATTGTGAGCTGAACTCAGAATATCAGACTTACAATTTATGGTCATCTTTTCGAATGGTAAACGAGAAGCAGCATTTTATAACTGGGTGATCCGATGTATCGCTTGGGTGTTTTAATGAACACGCTGTCAGGAGGGTATCATGTGCAGGATCGAAAGCGATGGTTCCAAACTCCTCCCAGTACCGCACCATGGATTCTTCTGTCAGAATTTCATGTAGTGCAATGTTGCCCTGTTGTAGGTTAGCGAATGTGGCCAAACGTCGATCCATCTGGTTATCATCGGCACAGACACCCCACCGGTGGAAGCCTTCTCGGAGCTGCATGAAGGGACACTCACGTCTCGTAGTTGGTTGACGGGAACATGGATAAGTTCAGCCATTTCCTTGTTCCCGCGGAAGATCTCGCCAGTTCTCCGCCAACAGCACGCGGGCACTGCCATACTGGCAAAGACTCGGTCGTAGTCCATTAACTGTCTCTCGAACCACATCTCGACATAGACAAGCTGGATGTCCGTCAAGCCTTGTGCCTTCTCTCTGAATTTAGGACGGAATTGATTGATAGTTCTTAGAATCTTTTGCTTAGAAGAGGCGGCAATGTGGCCGTCAAGATACTTGCCAAGTCGCGCATACCCGTTAATGTAGTTGAACGGCTTGAGAAGGCCTGCGTCGTACTTGGCCTTGAGCACACGAAGCATGCGTTCCTCCGGGTTGTCGCTCCCAGATGGATCCGCAGCCTGGAGGTAGTATTCGCGGGTCTTGTCCTTGTCGATCTGCATAGCGTTGCCGGCAAGTGGACCAGAGCTGCCATCTAGGTTCGGGGGTGGCATCATGGCCCCAGGAGGCACGTTCGCAGCCTGGCCTGCCCCTCCAGCCAGGCCGCCAGCTCCAAAGCCAGAAAGCATTTCTTGTTTCATGGCTCGCACAAAAGCTTGGTTCTGCGAGGTATCATCCGGCGCCACGCCGGTATCGTCAAGGAGACTGGTATGCAGGAAGTCGTTTAATAGATTGAACTCGTGCGAGACCTCGGGGGCAATCATGTAGTTGGGGTTGTAGTTGTTCATGTCCTGGAAGTTTTGTGCTGTCATCCAGGCGTCTGAGAATCCTGCGACTGGAATGGCTGTGTCAACTGAGTGCTCTCCGGGGAAAAAGATCATGATTCATGTAACGTGCAGCACGAGGGAAGGGGGAGGGGAAGTGGGAGAGGTAGAAGAGCAACCAGCCGTACGAGGAGAGGGGGGGCCTGAAACGAGGGCTGAAGAGACGTACATTGGTTCGCATTTCCTGTGGCGCTCGTTCCCAGCGAATTACCTTGGAGCCCTGCTGCAGCAGCTGCAGCGGCGGCTTGTTGCACAAGCGGCAGCGTGCTCCTCTGGCCGAGCAGTCCAGCGCCAAAACCCGACGAAGCTCGTGGCCGGCCGGTACCATCGAACACAGGTGGCGGGCCCATGGTGCTCGAAGCAGAGCTACGACCGACGTCAGACCGGGCGTCCTGCGAGTCCTCAATGGTTGAAGCAGCAACGGATGGTGCGCCCTGGGTGGCGTTCTTGGTTTTCTTGGAGTCGGCATCTCGAGGCTCGTCGTGGCAAAGATGGCCGATATTACGTTTAATGCATCTCGTACACGGTCTCTCCTATTCGTCATGTCAGTCTACAGCCAGGATCGATGCAGAGGGCCCCCCTTGCAGAGTAGACGAGAGGCCATTAGGAGCCCAACTGCGATTTGCGACACGCAAGCGCGCGGGCCGCAATGCAGGGACTAAGGGATGGGAAGATCAGGGTCCTACGTACGAGATCGCATGTCATATGCTGGCAGGAGACGAAAAGAGTCAGTCAGCATGAGAAGAAGAGCGCATCATAACATCGGTCGGGCGGCGGAACAGAGGCAGGCGGGTGCTGCAGCACGACGCACTCCTCCGTACCCAAGCCATTACACACCGGGGTTTCACCTACAGATCTGCGGCAGTACACACAAGCTGCACGACAGGCGGATCAGACCGGCGACATTAGCCAACAGAACGAACACATGGCTCGGGAAGAATGGCGCAGCTTTGGACGGACGCCCTGGGGTGGGTGTTTGGGCGCGGAGGGGGAGGGGGGTTTAATGTGGGAAGAAGCAAAGCAAGCTCAGAGACACGCATGGCGCCCATGATGCCTAACCGAATTGACGGCGGTAAGAGCAGCGGACGGGTATATAGAAAGCAACATACCGTGATTGACCTTGCGCCTTTTCTTGGGGCTCTTGTGCTGGTTGTTGGCGGCGGCCATGATGTCGTCCCTGTCCTTGGCCGTCTTGGTGCCCTCGTCCTTCATATTCGCTTTACTCTCAGTCGTAGCGGCGGCCTTCCGATCAGCCATTGCGGCGCGATGATCCCATTGGGCCCCCGAGGTTACGCAGAGGCGGGTAGCAGCCAAATATCGCGGGCGATTCGGCGGGTCGTTGCAGCTGGGCCTGGTCGGAGAAAGCAGCAGTGACCCTCGTGACCACGCAAGGAAGGTCGGATTTTTTTTCGCAATTGCCGTCTCGTTTGCCGCGGGGCTCGAGTCGCAAGCTTGTTTTAGATGTGAGAGACAACAGGCGACGGTGGTAGGCAGGGTCAGGTTACGGACGCACGGCGGCTCGTGGCTCGGTGGGCTGGTCAGGTGAGCGGATGGTCGATTGCACGTACACGGACGAGCAGCACGGAGCGAGAGGCAGGATAAGGCGATGCATAGTCCAGGATAGTCGATAGCATGAGAAGTCGTCCCATTGCCTTCCCCAAGACGTACGAGGGCCAAGTGGATCTGCGGGGCTGGAAGCCGAGAAATGGAAAACCTTATGTCCAACCGAAACGGCTGGTTCCGGCCGGCTACGACGACGGCACGAGACAACGCAGGACAGGACACGATGCTACGAGAGTTGATTCTGTTATATACTCGTCCGCGGTGTCTGCCTCGGTAGCATTGCAGCCGTCCTGCTGCGCGGGCTGATCTCCTGACATCCTTCTCCAACACGCCTTGGAGCTTCCGCCAACCAATACTACCCCAGCAATTGCAAATCCGTCGCCAGACATGAGGCAGGAACTACGATGCATTGATGGCTGCCGAGTTGCGTCCCAGCAGCTGCCTGACAGCACAGAGGTCACTGGGTGACATCTGGGGAAACCTGGAGTATCTCTTTGGCATCACACGAGCTGACAGGGCCCGACGATACCTGGTTTAATGCGTGCCCTGTCTGCGAGAACGTCTGCGAGCAACGATGGTCGTATCCAGGAGCTCTTGACTCGCGTGCTGTGCTCAAGGCACTGAATCTATCCGCCAGAACCAGCCAGGCTACTATCGGCCCAAAGAGTTAGTTAATTGCGCAATTGTCATCCTTGGGTTGGGGGCCAGAAGCAACTTGGCAACACACGATGCACTCTGCCTCGGCATGGCCCCAATCCAACTCGCACCAAAACCCAGAGCCAACCACCAAACGCCGGGCCCTGACGGACTCTCGACAACACACCTCCCTCGCGAGACAATCCCTCCCTCAACCTGGTCATCTCCATCTGCCCAGTTCTGAAGCCCTTTCGTCCGCAAACCCTGCCACGTGACTGTCGTGTTTTTTGTTCTCAACTTGGCGCCCGGCCTACGACGTTTCAAGCTGCACTAGTAAGCAAGGATCCATTCGCACTACGCAAGTAGGCCAACGCACACGCGCTGGAAGCAATTGCAAAGAGCTGCTGGTTCAGCTCTGAATACAGACTTCAATGTTCTGTTTATGCTTCTCTGGCCAATTCCCATCCTACTCGGTCTGATTGAGGAAATTGCCATGTTCTGATCTGGCGGCTGGCCTGATACACCTGCCAGGGGTTTCAAACGGCCTAAGGAAGCTACCGTCGATCATGATCAGATTTGTGGGCAGATTTTCTGGCTGATGTCGTAAGCGGCTAGTGGCCTCGAAATGACGAGCTTGCTTAGTCGTTGGCAGAGCGTTGGCACCTCAACAACATCCCCCAGCCAACCTTCCGAATAGGGTAGGCCATTCGAGAAGGCTATCCAGATAATGGCTCTCTTGTTGGCAAAGCAACAACTTCTCTTCACAACCTAATATCACATCTCTAGGAACGATATACATCTATAGATCATCCCCAAGGGTCTTGCCAACCGCTAGAACTACGCACGCAACGCCTCGAGGTTGTCCAAAGTCCATTTCACACCATAGTTTCCAAAGTCGTCCTTCAAGATACTGTTCTGGCTGCTCGGCTTAAACCACAACAGACGCTTGCTCCTTCCAGAGCGGCCATCTTAGGTGCTTCTCAACGCCTACATTAGGATCCTGGTTATAGAGAAAATTGAGGCACTACGTGCGAGAACTTGTCATTGCGTTATGGGGAATCGCCGACAAAGGTCTAAAGGAGATCCGACGCGTGAAAGGAGTCTATAATGGGAGTGCCATAATCTTAGAAAGCGAGGCACGACCAGACTGGCACGTTGGATTCGCTACTAGCGCGCGTTTAAGAAGACGCGCCATGCCAATGTGAAGATCATGTCGCCCAGAATAGCGGCTTGGCTCCTAAACCCCGGATACCAATCATTGAAGATAACCGTGCGAAAGGGGTTGCCTTCCAAGATTGCAACATCATATGTGTCGACAAACGAAGTCAGCTGGTCAACGGTAGCCCCGGAGAAGAGGACATCACTTAGGTAGCCGGCAATTTCGTCCATGCTGGATTAGTTGTATTGGAATATCGCGAGAATCGGCGCTTCATCTTCCTGATCTCCAATGATCATGGGCACCGGGCTGTAACGACCCTCGCAAACGAGGACATCTGGACTCTTGGGCAGGATTCACCATCCGGCCTGGGGAGGTAAGAAAGGGTAGCCGAATTGAACGCAAAAATGCCGGTGACTGAATTGGCCGCTTTGAGAAAGGTATTATAGACTATCAACAGAGCCAGTACAACCAGCCTGGCTTACTACCCGTTCTTTATAGTCGTTCACAGACTCTGACAGGACTATGCCACCAGAGTTCACAATGGCTTGCCATGATAGTTGATATCACCACCATCATCGTCACACCAGGCAATTTGACCAAGCAGGGAAGTCGCACCCAGGTGATGATTTTTTCTTGTTGAGCAGCGGACATCATCGACTGAGGAAAACATCGGCCCCTGTGCCTGAGCCTGTATCAATATCTCGGCTTTGGACCTTTCTTCCCCAGGCAGGGGAACGTCCTGGCTACATTCCCCAGTGATGGGTATGAGCACGTGCTCATAGAATGGCTTACAGTGCAAGGTTTTACTGGAACATGGGACGAATGAAACAGCATGGCATACCGAGGTGGTATTGACCCGGCTCCTTGGTTTGCGGGGTTGCAACATCAAGACGAAGAGATCAGTCCCTTCCATGCGTATTAGTTACGTAGGTACGATGTGAATGTGCATCTGGCAGGGATCCCTACCCCTGTAACCTGGCAGCTGATGTGCATGCCCCATCACGAGATCTCCTTTCCCCCATAATGGGGAAACTCTCCATCCCTGCCTTATCCGATTTTCAGTAACAAAGCCAAGCTGAGTGACTTGACTTTCCCATCTACATTTAATATTCGGTACGATAATTATCGAGAATCACCACTTATAGTTAAGACCCAAAAAAAAAGTGTGTACCTTTTCCCCAGTTGGAAGGGCAACGAGTAAGCAGCTGTTTTCGTAGCAAAGAGTTGGTGAGCGTTGCATCATACTTCGGCTTAGAGGAACTTATGATAAGTTTCTTACTAAGTGACAATATGGCCGAGCGACCTCTCCTGACTTAAGGTACATAGGTACTGTCCATACTTGCGAGATAGTTGGATACATAGGTACTGAGCTAGTCAGAAGCCCTTTGCCCCTTGCGGTAGCCCCTGACGTTGAAACAACATGCACACACATGGCCAAAGCTAGTTCGATGATGAGATGTATAATAGAATCCATCCCTAGAATTACAAGGCGATTTCACACATTGCCCAATTGACAGAAAGGACAAACAACCGCAGAATGTGCTCCAGGGTGGGATAATTTGGAGCAGATCTTGATCAAGAATGGAAAAAGAAGCTCTGTAAATGAATTCTATATCTAACTATAATGCTGCCATGGATATCTTCTCATCATGATCATGTCTGGAATGCAGAAAGACCCCCGAAGTCTAATCACTGAAATGGCCAGTATTAGCAGTCCCTTGCGCCTTGTTCGCCTTTGTAATGCCTAATTCATTAACGCCAAAAACCAATGATGCCTGTGATGGCATGACCTGTCTACGCTGATGCAAGTTTAGAGTAACTCCACAGAGGCCAAGTGACCAACTGAACAAAAACAACGCGTATCATGCAGTTGAATACTGATCAACGAGATTTCGCTACAGGGGGCCTGTAGTTTTGGCGATCGAGAGGAGGTGAAAATATGTGCTCCTAACATCGAGGCTCGATGGCAGCGCCATCTAGCAAGGTAGCCAGGTTGATGCATGCGACCGATGAAACCCTGTCCATAGATGGTGCCCATTGACTATCTTTGATTGCATCCCTGTACCTGAGAGGCGACAGCCGTCGGATTTATGGGTTCATTGAACGGACGAAGCCGGCAAACCCAGATGGCTATAAGCAAAGACAACAGGCAAGTGTAAACTTGAGCGATCGTAGCGCCCTGATCCAGAAGCCCGGATGTCACACCACAACTCCTATAGGAGATCCCTCACTAAGGCATCTCTTCTTTGCGCTAAGAGCTGGCTCATCCGCTTCGGACTCACTCGTTTCCCCTTCATAGTTTACATTGAGGACGTCGTTGAGTGACTCATGCTTCCGTTTGACAGCTGCTGTGGAGTCAACGGATGCGGCGGGTTCCGTAGGTTCAGGGTCGACCTCCCAGGTCTCAACCTTGTCTGGAGAAAAATATCCCACCACATCTTGACCCAAAGCCTTCCCGAATCGCTCCCGCAAGCCAAGAATTGGCCAGATTGGGACTCTGGTATAACTGATGTCCATTTGGGGCAGTTCTGATTCATCAGATCCCGCAGGAACCCTGAACGGGTTATGGAATCTATCCAAAAACTGAGCTGTCACGACAGCAGTATAAATGATGAATTCAGATGTCTCGATATCATGGGTGAGTATTCGAAGCTTGAGATCTCGAAAGTTGGGACGGGTCGAGATTTCCTTTGGCGGTCGCCAGGGAGAAAATCTTCTCCCGTGCGTCGCGGGCAGGCCGTAAAAATGGCGTTGGGCCATGGCCAAGAAGATGCCGACAAGATGAGGGTCTTGATCAGGGTTGGCAGGCATGAGCATCTTTGATCTTAGCTGTTGAAGTCTTTGAACAGGCCCGTTGGGGACATTCTGGGGACCCGGGACGATTCGAAACAAGTTCTTCCGAATAGTTGCGATGTGATTTTTACCGATATAGCACATCATCGGGAGATCTGTTGGGTTGTGTGGGTTTGAACTGGAAGGGGAAATGATACCAAACGACTCCGCCGGTACTGTGGATATCGACTCGAAAGAGTTTTGCGATGTTCCAGGCAACTCAGAAGGGAAATTCCACATGACTTGTGCACGAACCGAATCGCGATATATGCGACCCCCAACGTACAGGTGCAATTCGGGCATCAGTTTCGATTCCTTGAACGATCCTGGCCAGAGCGTATGCATAATGGTTCGGATCGCGTTCGAACTTAGCACGGGATGTTGTGTTCCAGGCAAGAGAATATCAGTGAGCGCGTTGCTGAGAGTCCGGATCTTTTGTGACGGTCGCATATGACCCTTTGATGGGGGCGAACCGGGAATGTCCTCTGGCAGACGCGAGTCACAAACTGGGAGCTCTGCAAAGCGCACCCCTAGGACATCGAGATGTATGCTGGTCCAGAAGATGGGGCGTACGAAGAGTGAGGTGCCTGCATGCTCATGCATCAAGTCGTAGAGTGAGTTCTTGGAAGGTTGAATGATGCGTCGACAGCGTCTCTTCCGCAGAGGCTTGATACATTGTAAAAGCTGCGATTCGTGAGTCTGAGACGAGGCGCGACCCTGAGGTGTCGCATCGGGGGGGTCCATGTCAACAGGAAACGAATGAAATTTGAGTAGCTGTTTTGGTTCGAGATTCTGGAAGGGAAAGGTTAGTGTTGGGATCAAGAGATGAGTGAGTTTGGCAGGAGAGGCGGCTAATAAGAGTCAGACCAAGGGCGTATCAAGAGGTGGGAGGTGACTGCCCACCCTACCCCGTGTTTTATACCCCTCTGCAGTGACGCGCTCAGGCACGCCTCTTCTTAACACGGCAAGGGAGCCCAAACCTTCGATAATGGAGGCCGAAACCAGGAGCGAAAGGGCGGAAAGTCAAACAAGCGATCAAGCACTTACATTGAGGACACGTCAAAATCCAGAGCTTTGTCTCCGTGAATGGACCTGCATTGTGTGTGAGCCTCACACAATAGGGCGGTAAGGTGCACATATAGATGGAAGCGCTTAATTGCCAAGCTGTCGCGACTGACGAGCGTCATCACGTGCATCGGGACAGGCAGCTGCCATCCTATGAAAAACAGGTATTGGGGCCCTAGTGTGGGGCGAATCCCGATGCGTGTCGATTGAACAGTCAGAGGGTCCGTGTGTGGCGGTGAATCTTCCCGATGTGGCCGTACAGGGTGGCGGCTGCCTGTAGGCTGAAGCCTCGCCGCAGCCGTGTTGATGCCTTAGAACTGGTGTGGCGGTCCTAAGGCACCAACTACCAATTGGCGTAGGTGCCCCACATGATTGACGACAGCTTCTAGCCAGAGCGTCAGCGCCCCGCGGATTGCAACTGTGGTCGTGCGCCGTTCATCACCTTCGTTGTAGTCGCCGTACCAGACGACAAGGTTGCCCAAGATGCCCGTAAGTCAACGCCAATTCGTTGCAACCGCTCTAAAAAAGCTGTCCGATTTTGTTATTCGACGTCTTCCTCCCTTTCCCTAGACCAATTTGGGGAGCTATCCAGGCGGTCACAGCGAGACGAGCAGAGCAACCTCAAACTAACACTCCTTCCCTAGGCCTACAACTCAATCTTCAACGACGACGCCAACACACCCCGTCTCATCGGGAACTTTCCCCTTCTCCCCTTGCGAACAAAGACTCGCGGACCAGCATATACTCTCCCCCCCACCGACCTCCCCGCCTACGAGACTCCTGATCCCGACAGCGAGAGCTATGACATTTTAGATGAGATCCTGTCCCTCTTCCGCGCCAACACCTTCTTCCGCAACTTCGAGATCCAGGGGCCCGCGGATCGTCTGCTCGTCTATGGAATCTGGTACGTCAGCGACTGCCTGACCAAGATCAAGCCGACGTCAACCGCCACCCAAGCTCAAAAGGATGTCATGAACCTGGCGCTGGACCTCAACTTCGCCATTCCCGGAGACCCAGCATGGCCTCTCAACCAGGTTTGTTCTCAGCGTTCCCCTGAATCGCATTGCGCATTGATCTGACACAACCCTCGCAGATGTACGAGCCGCCTCGAGACCGCCAAGATGCTGAGCAATTGAAGCAGTACTTGTCGCAGGTACGACAAGAGCTAGCCATTCGGTTACTGGCAAGGGTATACGAGGAGGACCAGGCCAAGCCGAGCAAGTGGTGGCTGAGCTTCACGAAGAGAAAGTTCATGGGCAAGAGTCTGTAACTGAAACGAAGCAGCTCCAAGGCACCCTCGGATAAAGCGATACGAAACCAGAAAAATTCCACAATCATACTATTGTCTGAGGCTGATCGCATTCCCTGTTTTCTTGGTTGAAGAGGGCATCGTGTAGATATTTAGAAGATTCCCAGTCATGCTTATTAGGCCGGAAGTCTATTGCTCTTTTTTATTACTCCTGTCTATTTCGGATCCACCTTCTTTCTCTTGAACTTGCCTCTGGCTTCGATTCTACCTTCGACGGGCAGGGCTCGCCAACCTGTGAAAATGTAGCCTTCCGCGCCTCCCTTCGCCGTCATCACGGGGTGAGTCCTGCCAGGCAAGACCTGCCACCGCTTCGCTCGGCTGGTCTGAATGCTGGCGTTGAGCACAAGCGTTGGGTTCAGGGGATATTCGTCGTTTCCTTCCCACCGCTCCAGTTCTTCGATGGCTTTCCCCTCGGCCTCCTTGGGAGGCTCGGTGATCCAAGCTGCACGGCGACCGACGCTGAAGCAATCCACAAGTGAGTTTAATGGCTCGATGCTCGGCGAGTAGATGGCAATCGGGGCACCTGGTGCGAGTAGAGGCAGAGTATGGCGTAGAATGGAGACAGGGTCCATCGGGCTGGCCACGGCCAGGCCAGAGAACCCCCCCGCACGTGTAGAGTCGACAATGTGTCGTGTGCGAGCCCACCTCCGACGCTTGCGATGATAGTTGCCTCTCCGGTTGGTCTTCCACGATGCCAACACCTCTGGCTCAACCTCCTCGGGAGGGCTCGCTAGCGTAATGTCCTCCTCGGGGTTAAGAAGCTGAAGCCATGACAGAGACATCATGTTCGAAAATAAGGGATGATACGGGGGGTGAGGGTCAGGATCGGTGCTGTCAAAGTTGAAGTAGCGGAGAAGGAAGAGATTGGGTTGTGTGTTGTGGTGTAGAATGGTGAGTGTATTGCGTTTGGCGAATGGTAATTCTAGATCATCTGGTCGTCGTCGCTTAGCAGGTCGAGCCTCTGATTTCGTTTCTTCGCTGCCCGCCTCGGCTTGAACCTCAGGAATTTCCTCCTGTGCCTGCTCAGCATCGTCGGGGTTCTCATGCAGTATTCCCATTCGTTCAGCAAGGGAAGCTGTCAACAAACCGCCGGTATCATCAATCACAAGCCATCGACCCCCAGATTCGTCTCCAGCGTCATCCAAGTGCGGCGCAACATAATGAACATCTGCCCAGCACCCAACCAGAGCCATGGACTCGTTGCGCATCTCCATAATCTTAGAAGCGTCCTTGTCTTCCAGCATCCATTGCGCGAGCAGAGGTACGTCGAGCGGTAGAACCGTAAATCGGCGGATGTACTTCTTCGTCTTTAGTAGCTTGTACTTGGCTAAAGAATAGGCCGTCTTCTCCTCAATGGCCGTATGTGAGAGGAGAAGCTTAGCGATCAATTCTTTGCCCGCAGCTGTGCCCTTTTTCTTAAGCTCCTCGATCTCTTGTATCGTCAACGTCTGGCGCGCCGACTCGTCGATTGCCTCTCCCTTAGATCGGATAACAACCTGGCCGCTAGCCTCGTCGACGAGGGTAAGTTCTTCACCGTCGGAAGGTTTGATAATCGTCTCCTCTTCGGCGTCCCCTTCTTCGGCATCGGCGCTTGTGTCGGCCAATGCATCGGCGTTGAGCTCTGCTGCTGGTACCACGCGCAGGCGTGCAAAGTTTTCGTCTTCGCGCTTGTCTTGGATCTCGTACGTTAAGTGATACGGTCGATCGATGATTAGATTGCTGGGAAACGAGCCATATTTCCCGAGCGATATCGTACTGCGAACAAAGTCAGCCTTTGGAATAGCTAGGGTAGCGCTTGGGGTCTCTCACATATTAGGAACAATTTCTAGAATCTTGAAATCTTCACTAGGAAGCTTTAGAGCAACCCAGCAATTGGGCTGTACTCTATCTCTAGACATTGCGATCAGATTGTCCACCAAGCCTCGATCATTCAACAAGCATAGCGGCGTTGTAAAAGCAAAACCCAGGAATCTGGAAGGGAAAAAAAGTTGACGTGCAGCTTAGCGTTCCCACACCGAAGCCACGATCCTCGGTGAGTCCCACAAGTGGGGTGTCTGCTGCAAATCTCACCGAGAGCAACATCAGATGAAGACTTTTAGCTTCCAACAGCGATCTGTCATCTATTTCCAGGAAAAGAATAATCATCATTCTTAATTTGAGACTAGACAATTTCTTACTTAATCTTCGCCTAGCTTTCCTCGGACCTTTCCAGTGCCAAATGGCTTCACCACTATACTCTTCGCTGAAGTTAGTAGTCCAAATACTGCTGTGATCAAATAGAGCATAATGCTCAGAGTCCCAAACAAAACAAGTGGCGCAATTGTGTAACTAAAAAGGTATACCAGGCCCCCGGATCTTTTGACAACATCGAACAGTTCTCCCTCCATGATCTCTGCAGCGCCCTTCCACTTCCAGGGGCCAACAAGCCTAAACTTGGTATTGAAGTTGGATCCCATGGCCCAGGTAAAGCAGACCTTGAGGCCTCTCCCTATCACATAAGATACTCTAGGCGCCGCACCGATATCCAATGCTAGTTGGTAGGCGTAGCTTTCATGATCGACACCGCCTTTGGTCTTTGAGAGATCATATCCCGCCCGGGGCTGGAGTTTCCAGTCCAACTCATACTGCTCCAGAGCGTTTGAGTCGACGATTGTTGGTATAGCGCCTTTGAATTCATGCTCAAGAAGGCGCAATATCCACAGCTGGGCTTGCAACTCGGCAAGAGGAGGTATCGCCCCTAGGCTTGGGCGCACAAACCCGATGAAGCCAACAGTTACATCGTGGCTACTATAAATCCTTCGTACATCAGCCTCCCCAAGCCCTGGGTACTCAGCATTGAGAAATGGGAAGCTCGTTCGGTAACCTGTTGCTAGGACGATTACATCTGGGACTATGCGCTTCGTGTTGCCATCATCGTCCTTGACAACCATAGCCCCCTGATCGTCAAACTTTTCGGGCCAGGTCAACACATCTATCCTTCTTCCTTTGGTATCCTTTTTCGGCACATTGATCATGAAGGTTCTTTTCCTGTTCCACCAAGATTCCGATCGATGTCCGTCCGATATGTAGGGCAGAGCCCGGTCCGATTTACACATGAAAATGGAGTCGACATGCTTTCTCTCACTGCTCATATGCCCAACCCACTGATCGGGACCCTCCTCGGTCCCAGAAATTAACATGTGCATTCCTTTAACCCATCTGTCATACACAAGCCATGGCAGGGGACTGCGCTGAAGAGCCGGATGTGTGTACGCAGTGTCAAACAAGCTGGCGACTGAGCAATCTGAAGGTTTGTTGGGACGGGTCTGGACCACTTTCTCCCCTCTTATTTGCGGTATAGGAATCACCTTTGGGGCACAAAAGAAGCCTCCTCTGTGGCAGATGGAGACGGAACGTGTGGGGGCTGTGATGGCAAGATAGCCGATGTCCATGGCGGTCTCGCCGGCCCCTAGTATCACCACGTTCGAGTTGTGGCCGAACTGCCCCCGAACCTTGACCTCGGAAGAATGCAGGACCACCGGAACATTCTCCATCCCTTCCATGTGAAACTTGTTTGGCGTCACATTCAGCCCGGAGCATATTGCAACGGCGTCACATTGCCATTCCTCGGGCTTTCCGCCCTTCCGTACGAAGCAAACATTGTGTCCTTGACCCCGGCGTCTCACATGCTCTACCCTTGTAGAGCATTCGATGTTATTCCACAAACCGAAGTGGCTCGCGTAGTCATTCAAGTACTGCACATACTGCTCCGGTGTGACGAAGTCAGGGGCGGTTGGGGAGAATCGAAAGTCTGAGAACGCCGTGAGATACTTGGAAGATACAAGCTCGGCGTCTTCGTAGATCCTCCAGACGAACGTTCCACCAATCTTCTCTTCCGATTCAAACAGCCGGGCATCGATCGGTGGTATATCAAAGTACTTGTGGGCTTCCAGCAGAAACTTGAGAGTAACCAGGCCCGATGGGCCTCCGCCGATGACCGCAACCTTCATTAAGACGGTAAGCGAGTGCTCCAAACTTTCTGCAGCGTGCAAGTCAACTAAGTGATTAAGGACGCAAGCACTCTAGAATTTTTTTGGGGAATCGAGGGTCGGCCACGGAATTTTAGTGTACCATTATTCAGGATACCAAGAGTAAGCCTCAAACTCACGACCGATCGCCACTTCCTTTGTATTACACTTGATGTCATTCTGACCGACCAACATTGCAGAACCAGCAAACTATTGTTTCTTAATTAAGGCATGGTTGGATAAAAAAAGGCTTGATTGGTCTTTAGAATACCACGAGATCGAACAGGGGCCATCCCAAGGGACTAAGGTGAAGCAATGTAACCCAATCAGAGTCAGCATGTCCTAAATCGAACTCCTATCTGCTGTCTGCTTACACGGCACATGTAGAGTCTAAGCCCTGATCAGAAAGGACATCTCGCTTAAGAACACACAACCATTAGTGCATATGCTTTCTAAGTGGGCCCCTTGAACAGTATCAAACTATGTACCAAAGCCAATGCCTGAAGGGTCTTGTACAGCCCAAAGGGAGCATTATGTTGCCTGACCTTGGATCATACGAGACATGTCTCTCGCCAAGTTCTGATGCCGCTAGAAAAAAAATTAGACTGGAATCTTTCCGAAACAAAGTTTGAACCCGGCCACTACGTGAACCCGCAGGCAGCAGTAGAGGCCAGCAAGACTTGTGATGCAGCCCGGAAGTTTAGGTGTTCCGCCCTCCCAACTGTCCCAAATTATGACAAATCCCTGATGTCTGTGTCTGGATTATTTGGGCGGCTTTATTGAGAATCATGCTACCTTTGTCACTGTTGAAGCCTCTCTGAGCGATCTATACAATGCAGAACGTGGACAATGAAAGACTGTCTATGCCTTGGTGACCTTTATGTTCTCATTTTGACCCTTCTACCGTACGCTTCTGTATCATTTAACTCTAGTACAAGGCTGTGCCTCAGGGAGGTTGAAAGACGCAAGCTCTTAAGGTAGACCCCTGTTTAAACTCGCAGCTTGCATACGATAGACCGCCTCGAAACCTTAGAAGTTCATCTAGAACGTCGAAACCTGCAAGCTTGATCGAACGAACTTTTCCAAACGGGACTCATTCAGTAACGCAGGATCACCAACTCTGAGACGTTGGTTCTCATCATTCGTTTACGACATTCTACTGTTCTCTGTCAGTTCTTCTTGCTAGCAAGGTAGTAATTCTATCATTCTATCTTCATCCTATCCTGATTTTCCCATAGATCATAATTATTGAATGGACATGCCAGTACGGTCAGCCGATTCATACCCTTTCTTTGTCTTCCTAGTTCGTGCCGGTAATCTTTTCTTTTCGTTATAGAACCAGCAACACTCAACCAAGTTCCCAGCATCTCTCGTCATGTGATTGAGTTTGTCTGGATTTCTGTCTGAAGGACCCACGATGATCACCAACTAACACACTCGGCGGATCATCCAAACCTTGCGATCTGGATCGCGCCTCTCGATGCAAGCAAAACTCAACTTTCGGTCCCAACCCCTTCATTTCGGGCTCTGTGACAATGAAGCCGGGACTTGATCTTGAAGGAATCGAGAATGTGAGGAGATGGTCATTCTCGAGAAGTACAAGAAGGGCCAAGGGGTCGACATCGGTTTCAGAAAATCATCAACAACCAAACTCATCTACTACCGTCTATTGTTAAGGAAAATCATCACAGACAAAGAGACGTTGCGAAGATGCGTGCCAGTATCATCGCGGCCACCCTTGCGGGTGCTCTCGGGGTGACAGCCTACGACAAGGCCCTCGAGAATGCCCTTTCCCACATCCACCGCAGCGGATGCGGCGAGCTTGACGGCTGTGGGAAGCATAACAAGGGCTCCTACATCCCTGATGGAAAGACATTCATCTTCCCTGATAGGAACTACGAGCATGGCAACCGATGGGAGCTCATAAACAAGCATCCTCATCACCACCATGGCCACCACCATGGCCACCACGGCCACCACGGCCATCATGGACATCATGGACATCATGGACATCATGGACATCACGGCCATCACGGACACCACCATGACCTCCACAGCTATGTCAACTTCGACTTCCGCGAGGAGTCCCTCATCTTCGATTTCGAGAGGATCGAGGACTACAACCACGTCAAGACCAAGGAGAAGCTTCGCTACGAGAAGATTGAGATCAAGGTTGCCGTGGACAAGGCTCACTTTGACCATGCCCGCAGCTACAGCCTCAAGGACGGACACTGCCATGAGCACGATGGCCGTTACCGCTGCCGCCTTCCGTACAACGAACTAGTCCACGGCGGCCACCACGGCTTGTGCCCCCACAAGGACAAGTACGGCAAGGAGCTGTTTGTCAAGATTGAGACCGTCATTGTTGCTGGAGAGGAGCGCTACGAGCTCTGCAACCGTGGTGGGCAGGAGAGGGAGTACTTCCGTCTTCGCTACGCCTGCACCGAGTAAGTCATCCCATGCCGGGTCGTTTTATAATCAACAAAATTAAACTCACATGTTTCTATTAGGTGCAAGTACAACGAGTATGAGAAGGACTGCCATCATAAGCCTCACCATCATCATCACCATGGAAAGCATCATCACGGTCATCACCACCACCACCCCGAGAAGTACCACCACGGCCATCACGACAAGCATCACAAGTGCTGCCACGACCACCACAGGCACCACGATCATAAGCACCACCATGGCCACAAGCACCACGACAAGCACCATGGCTGCGGCTGCCACAAGCACCACGATCATCACAAGCACCATGATCATCACAAGCACCATGATCACCACAAGCACCATGACGCTAAGTTCCTCGACTACAAGTTCGAAAGCCACAAGCACCACGACCACAAGCACCACGATCACAAGCATCACGACAAGCACCACCACGGCTGCGGCTGCAAGAAGCACCACCACCACCCCCACGGTCCCCGTGATGTCGAGACCCTTGATGTCGTCGAAACCCGCAACGTCGAAGCCCCCGCCGTCGAAACTCGTGATGTCGGACCCACCACCGACCTCGAAACCCGCGGCCGCGGCCATGGACTCGCCTACGAATGCACCGGCACCTTCCTCGAGGCCTACGGAACCGGCAAGTACTCCCACCCCCTCAAGGAGATCGGCTGCGGCCACGAGGGCTATTACCACCGCTACCCCAAGAAGGAGCTCGAGGTCTCCGTCCACGGCCCCGTCGAGCTCAACGGCCACACCCTCGGCCACTTCTCCGTCCACCTCGACAAGCGCCGCGAGGACGTCGTGCTCGCCATCGACGTCAGGGTCCTCGACCCGGACTACTTCGTCACCGAGATCGCCGCCATCATCGTCTGCGAGGACGGCCTCAAGCAGAAGGACAAGGACATCTGCAGGCCCTCGTCCTACCCGTACCGCCGCCACGACAAGCACGGCCTCGACCACTTCCACTTCGACATCGTCGACGAGTTCCAGTGCAAGGGCGACTACTTCATCGCCATCTACGTCCTCGTCTGCGTCGCCGAGGACAAGTGCGAGTACAAGAAGATCGGCCACCGCTACGATTACTAGACCGGGTCAGTTCCGCGGCATCATCTCTCTGCTTGCGCGACAAGACAGGTTTTCCCATCAGGTAGGGAGGTGGATGTTGCTTTGACCATTGAAAATGGGAGGTCAGGATCTAATGGGGCGAGGAGACAGGAAATTTCAACAATTGAATAGTTTTAAAATTAGGTTGACACATAAAACATATACGGCTAGTTAGTTGCTTATTTAGCTCGATACTTCCTTCCGTCAGACAATGAAAAAGTTTATCTTGTCTTTTCAAAATTTAGACTCGGTCCGCCTTGAGCTAAGTCGTTTAAGATCTAGACTTCTTGACATTGCGAAGTCTAAGTTGATCCAATACTAGGTAGATATGTTGAGAGATGAAACTGGGGCAAGACTGGTAATGGTTTCTATCATGTTAAAAAGCTAAGTCAAGCAGCCAGCCTATTAAGATGACATCAATTGCTGGTATCAGCCGATTAAGTTGAACGAATTGGCGAACAACTAAAATCACGTCAAAAGTAGGTCACTGGTATGTTCTTCAAAGCAAAGTCATTGTCGTAAGGGGTATTTCTATCAAGTATCGTAAGGCTTCGTATCCACCATCATACTCCAGTAACATGAGAGTATAAGATAAAATTTCGGCGTGCCCAGACGCCAGTGCCCAATTTGTATCATTCTTGCGCCCGAGAAAAATCAAAAACATCAGAAGTAATAGAAACGCCTAGAAACCCAGTTCGAGGGGTCGATCAAGACCAATTGGGGGCATAGGTGATGAAACCCATGAGGCAACCTGCGATGAGGCCAGAGACAGGTACGGTGATGAACCAACCAAGGTAGACCCAGGCAACCATGCGCCAGTTAATAGCTCGCCAGTCGCCATTGCACAGGCCGACACCAACGATGGCTCCGGTGATGCACTGTGTGGTGGAAACGGGAAGTTCTGTATATTGGTTAGCAACGTGTTGATAGTTGAATGAGAAACGACAGATACATACCAAGACGGGTGGCAATAACAATCGTAATGACGGTTCCCAGCTCCATCGAGAATCCGCGGGCCGGGGACATGAGGGTCATGCGGTTACCAAGATTGGACATGATACGGTAGCCGTAGGTCCAGACACCAACGACGATACCGGCACCACCGAAAGCCAGAATCCAGACGGGCACGTTAGACTTGGCGCCAGGAATCTTGCCGCTCTCCCATATCTGGTAGATGGAAGCGTAAGGGCCAACAGCATTAGCCACATCGTTGGCACCGTGTACGAAAGAGGCGGCAGAGGCAGTCAAAACTTGGAGGAAGGTGTAGAGGAACTCGGTGCGGTTGTCGAAGTGGGTAGCACGGGCATGGATCTCCTCCATGTCACGGCTAAGCACGGTGTCGGCCTTCTGCTTAGCGACAATATCGACATCAACACCGCGGAAAAGGGCGAACTTGATGGCCCACCAGAGGAATTCCTTTCTGTACCATGCCACCTCAGGCTTGGGCCCAACGAGGCTCTTCTTAGCGGGGGTAGTGTTCTCGGCAGCGTCAACAGAGTCACTCGCGACGCCGTCGACGGCCTTGTCTTCGTGCTGTCCCTCAACGTCACCCTCTTCAGAGTGTTCGGCCGCATGACGAGCACGCCGGGCATCCAGCTCCTCCCGAGTCAGATGGCCATCGTAGAAGTTACGCACGGCGCCAGTGAAACCGGGAGGTGGGGGTGGGACTTCCCCGCGGCGGAGCAGGAGAGGACCTTGGAAGATGTGCCAGGCGCGAAGCTGCCAGTCCTCCTTGATGACGACTCTGTAGATCCAGGGAACGAGGAAGACGGCGACGAGCATACCGACACCAGCACCGGTGGCAACAATAACACCAGGCATCTGGGCCTCAGTGAGGTTCACGGTGTAACCGCCGCCCTTCCAGAGGAGAAGCATGACAATAAGCGAGGAGGTAACCCAGAAGTAGAAGGGAATGAGAAAGAGACCCTTCATGGTGGGGTTCTTCCGCAGCAAGACACCGTACTTGGTGAAGAGGAAGATGAGGGAAGCAAATGTACCAGACAGGACAGGTGCGATGATCCAGGCAAGGAAGACCTGAACAACACCAGACTGAATGTTCACGGAGCCATCCGCCTTGTATCCGACCCAAATGACAGCATTGCCACCAAGGGCACCAACACCCATACCGAGAACACCACCTAGGATGGAGTGCGTTGTAGACACGGGCATACCAACCTTTGTAGCAAAGGTAAGGTAGAGAGAAGAGGCAATAATCGCACAGGTCATGCCTAGCATGAGAAGGGCTGGTGAATCTTCAAAGGCTTGGACGTCGACAACCTTGGTTCGGATGGTATCAGCGACACGGCCACCAACACCGACAGCGCCAGCGAACTCGAGAATAGAGGCGCCGCACATGGCCTGGAGGTAGGTGATGGAGCGCGAGGACACGGACGAGGCCCATGAGTTGGCGACATCGTTGGCACCAATGTTCCAGGCGTCGAGGAAGGCGAAGATGGTGCCGACTGCCAAAAGGTAGTCGAATTGATGGAGAGCCATCTTGGGCAGCTAGAAGTGTGGATGGAAGAAATTGATGATGGATAAGTTATGTGATGCCCAGGCGGTAGTATGAATAGTAGAGGTTTTCTACTGCCAAGCGGCGAGCAAAAAGTAGCACACAAGGTGATACTTTATGTCTGCACCGGCCGCAGAGGGGAGGGGAGGAAGAGGTGGAGAAAGTAAGTGGCTTGCTGAAGTAAAGTAAAAAGAGAAGAAGGTTTGGGGGCTTGTGCCCGATATTTATATAGGACGGCAAGGAGAAGAATGGAAGAATGGAGAGCAGGTTGGTACCGGTGGCCAGCAGAGGCATCTCAACCGTCGACGGGAGGGTGTGTGAGGAGCAAAGACTCGAAGTGGGTTGGATGGGGGCATCGAAAACAACTCGTCTTGCCTTTTCCTGATGTGATGTGCCATCGAAGTCTCCAGGATTGGCCCCAGTGCATGAGCCGGGAGGCTCCAGAGTCGCCTCAGGGTGGGAACCTGGCTGACTGCGTAGGGTATTGAGTTGCTACGAGGTGAAGAGGGGGAAAAGTGGCATTGAGAGACGGCATCCATCATGTACATCCCTACCAAGGGTGGCAGTCTCTTGGGGCCTGCTCTGTCAGGGTACTTGCCGTCTAGAAAAGTCGAATCCATATTAAGGTACCTAAATTCTTGATGCCTCGGTGCCTCTAGCTGGTGGAGCACATCGACGCTATGCTAATCCTCGTCTGAGCCTCTCGTCTACACGCTCTCCTGCGTCCAATTATGGCTGGATGGCTAGAAAAGGCTGTATTCTGTAGAGAACCAGATCACTAGATGCACATTGAGCTGGAAAAAAAAAAAGCATCTTGTCTCGGGTTCTGCCTGCCACGGGCCATAAGGAGAGACATCCAAAAACACAGGAAAAAGACGGTCGACCCGAGGACAGACGGCTGCCATTGGCGCCGGCCCGAATGAGAAAGTGCGCGCGTGAGCAATCGCCTTTTTGGGAGCTCGTCCCTCTGCCATATGCAAGCAAGTGCAACAGCCGCAGGAAGCCTGTCGCCTAGCCGAGCCAGGTAAGCCCAGCCCAGCCCGGCGAGCGAGGAGGCGGGATTGATGGTGATAGTGGACAGGGTTGTCACACTGGCGGCTCTGGCGTCGTCAGTCAGTCACTTTTTACAGGGGTCTCAGGGAGGTGGGGTGGCAGCAGAAGCGAAACATCTCCACTGTATCGCACGACAGGACCGCCTCACTTGGGGAAGTATGAGTGTACGAGCCTCGTTGATAGAATCTCTAATTAAGTGATTCGAGACCGTCTTCAATGAAGTCAGACTGGTGAATGAGAGCTTCCTATCCGACAACCGATGCTGTTGGGAAGAAAAGGACCAAGGTGACGAAGTGGGTAAGCCCCCATCTAGTAAGGTATGGAGCTCTCGGCGAACACACATCAGGTAACAAGTCTATTTTCAACTCTAAATTTCTAAATTCTAGTTAAAATTCTTGCATTGACTAGGACGGCTCTGCAATATAGGTTACAACACCACATTTACCCGCCAGCCACAAAGCAGGGGATTTCGCTGCGCAACTCATAACAGTAGCGTGCGGTATTTGTATCATCACTCTCACACTGGCATCTTAAGTCCTCGTGCCGGTGACGTTGACAGTGATAGTACGACTCAGCCAGAGCAAAGAGCAAAATTAGGAGCGGAAATGCTCCAGTGTGGAGAGGAAACATTAGTGGGTGGAGTGGAGGATGGGGGCTGATCTTTTAAGATCTCAGCCAGTAACAGATCTAAATCCAGCACGTGTGCCCATCATTGGTGATTCTGAGTCTCTTTTCTCCCCCCGTGTGCGGGTCAACTCAATGTGCATAAAGCCCCTGTTGATCCCCACCTCACCACCCGCCCAGACATGCAAGATCTGTCCAATTAGACTCTGTACATTGAGCACGTTGATGAATCTTGCCATTTGGCACGTACTATGTATGAACCAGGACATGCCCTAACGCAGAGCACCTATGAAGCTGCACACACCCCTCTGCCGGCCAAGACCTGAGGTGATGGACATCGAGAGTGCCCAGGTGGGTAAGACTACGAAGCTCCTCCATGATAATAACAACACCGTGGACAATTTTCAAACCCCAGATGTCTCGAGCTGTTAGAGCGCCAGATGAGAAAAAGGTGAGGCATGATTATCAGATACATCATCACGCATCATCACATACACACAAACACCGCGTATCAAGAGCCATCATCCCTATAGCATCTAGTTGGCTAGCATGGAGAAGCACAGACAAATTCATGTCCATGGTCACAGTGCATCTCAGCCGTAACACGGGGGTAGATGTGTGAAAGGCAGGGATGGCGAAAATCGTAAGAGCTCACGAGACTAGTTTCTCGACCTGGAAATTGTGACTGGGTTTCTTCCCCAAGAGTCAATTTCCCGCTCGGCACTCATGCCGAGGGCTTCTTGGCTCTTGCCTGGGCCAGCAGTGATGAAATAGCTCAGAGTTATATTGACAATGACTGGGATTCATCATCGATCAACTTCAAGGTCTGCCTCGTCGTCGTGAAGTCAGGAATGAAATAGAAAGCTTCACCGTTTTACTCAACTGGGCCACTCCTTCCACCAGTACAAAAGACACGATGGAATTGAGTTAATATATCGTGAAGCGCTTTGTTATCTTAATTACTACAATGATATTTTTCTCAAGAAGTGACCCCTTCCTCAAGACCTCAACCCCTGTCTCGCATTATCAAGCCACAAAATTAAATTCTCTAACGCCGGGTTCGTCCCGCTGATGGCTCATCACCAACGATGCGCCGCGACGAAAGGCACGGTCCCGGTTCGCTTTGACTAACAATAAGCAATCATGCTTATGCGGAAGCTTCTCCCAGGTCCCAGGCACGTGGGCCTTTCTATTGGCTCAGAGGCTCTCGGCCGTGAGAGCTTGCAGCTTTAGAAGACCCGTGGAAGAATTGTAGAAAAGGCTTCTCGAAAGATGACCTGTTCGATGCGGACCTAAAAGTATCGCAATCCTTTTCTTTTACGTACCCTTGATAAAAATGTGACGATTGTCGCAGTATCTGATTGCATTTACGCAACACTTGAACAGGACTCCATTGAATCTCGTCTCATTCTGCCCACGTATCCGCGAGGCAGGTGATCTGAGGCGCTCAGCCCACTCTGAAAATGTGAGCTCTCTTGTGTTAGTCGTCGTTTTGTCCAACCACTACGGTCAAAATCTACATCCCTTGTTGCCGACCTAGTGTTAGTGGCAACCCAGAGGGTGAGAAGGGGGGAACTCCTCTCTTAAGACGTCTTACCAAAAGCCCTTCTTTTTCTCGCATTTCATATCATTAATAGAGCTAGATAGAGTAAAAAGCCGTTCACTCAAGCGGATAACTCTTTTATATGGTATAGAGGAAAAGGCCCAGCCTGATGAACAAACTACCTACCCATTTCCAACCGCTTGGCAAAATTCGGTTCGGCTTGCACACTCCGGTTTTTCTTTAGGATATATCAGAAATACCGTTTGCCTCGATGCTTTCCATGTGTCTAATATTCCTCAGTACACCGTACTAGCCCGAGATTGCAAGTCAAAGAGCTGGCGAATGACCAAAAGCGCAACCAGCTGCATTGCCCATCGTCGGATGCGCACGCGTCATTCACAAGACACTATCAAACAAACAAGTCCCGAGCCCACAGCTGACACTGTACAGTAAGTACCAAATGACTATCAATGTTTTACAGAGTTACACCCACAATACATGCAAGTTAGGTTATGGGCATGATGTACAAGGGTTGAAAGAATAAACAGCGCTTTTAGATTTCCACAAGTCTACCTACAGTCATAAACGCATCAGATGCTATATCTATCATGCCCAATTGAACTCGGACATACTCATCACCAAGCCTGGAACTCGTCACAGGAGCAATCTCTCTGATCTGTTGACACCTCTCCATTCTCCCCTGCCGACACAACGACGCTACCGTTACAAATCAGCTCACAAAGAGCAGTAATCCTACGTATCCTACTTAAATCTCCCTTGGACTAAAAGGCGATCGTCTATCCATGTCTTCCGATACACATCAGCTCAGTTCAGACTTGCGCGCAGGGCAGATGTGAGCTTATCAAGAATCTCTCCGTACCTGCTAACCTGTTTGTAGATACCAAATGGAAGTTGACTTAGGCCGGGTGTACCCTTAGGCTTATATGATGATTCTTGTCGTCAGAACGCTCAAGATATCTAGACCTCGCATGAAGCATGGCTACCTACCTTCCTAGGTACCTACCTATCAGAGCATCCACGGCTACCCTGTGGCAGCTTAAGAACCTTTCATAGTACGTAGGTAGCGAGGACAGGCCCGGCCTTGAGGTTACCAATAATGATTGGCACCCAGGTGAGGTCGGGTAAAAAGAATTTCCGGATCAACAAGGTTCCTTCCTTGAGCGATAAACAAGGCCCGCATGAAACTCCAAAGTGAGGCCAACCTCCCAGGCCCTTCCTCAGCTCCATCCAATCTTTAAGCCAAAGCGCGAAATGATGAGCCATCTCTTTCCGAGTCGATTAAAGTTCGATAGGAGTTCCTTCCTTGAAGGTGACTGAGATCGAGATCGAAGCTCCAGAGACGTCAGCGCCTTCCGATGCCAACAGGCCGTACCTTCCCTGGCGGTAACGAAGCCTCAGGCATGCCACACAAACCAAAGGCGAGAGTTCCAGAAGTGCCCAGACAATGGTATTCTTAAACTTGGCCCTCACCTCAACATCCCATTCTTCTACTTCTTCTCTTTTCTTCCTCGCCCACCTTTCCTCTCTCCCTGGGAACTTCTAGTAAGTCGCCCAAGCACCCATTACCTTATCATGAAGATACATGCTAATACCCCTTTGAAAGCTATCGGCCTAGCCACGCCCGTCAAAAAGCATTCAAAGCTCCCGCCGAAGTGGGTTCCCTGTCAAAAAAATCTTAATCGCCCTGGGAAACTAATTACAAGTAGTTAGAAAATGGCGGACAAGCAGTACAGGCAGGACTTACTCCGTGTCGTAAGGAGTTGGTATCGCCGACTGGAGGAACGTCGTCATGAAAGACTACGGTGCTGCAAAGTAAGTAACATGCGTGTTGGTCTTGGCAGTACATTGCTAATCAGGTATCTGTGAAGTGCAACAAGCGAGGGCATAAGAAGGCTCAATGCCCCATGCTGAAAAATAACACTGGCCGGCTGGCGCTGTCGACAACCCCGCTGTCTGCATTGGGAATACACAAATCTGGAACCGATGACACCAAAGCCGAACCTGTCGTGGTCCCAGCTGAACCAGCGATATAATGGCACATCCTCCACTCGTCAAACCAAACGAGTGAGATCAATTGCCAGGGTTATACATCTTCTTATTCATAATGGAAGATACATGATGTGGATTTTGTTTGTATGTTTGGTCATGCCATGTGAAGACGTGGTCCGTGTATAGGGTAAGACCGTCGGCTGGAAGATCGGCAAGTTTTTGTGCCATGGAATTCTTCCTCTTCCATCGTGGCTAACCTTGGTGGAGAAGAAGTGAGACACCTAATCATCAATGTAACTAGGTGGTTAATGATCACATTTAACGTAACAGAAGACTCAGTTTCGTCCAGCGTGTCCCAACCTGAGTGCGACAAGTGGAAGCCTGAGAATCTGGCCTGATCGCTGCCTGCATGACCTACATTTGTTGGTTCTAGATGAATGGCCAACAACCGAGATTGGCGCGAAAGGCTATTTATTGGCCCGGTCAATTGCCTCTGTTGGGCTGCCTCTTCTTGAAAGGTCGAGGATCCCCTCACTATAACGCCTGTTACTCCCTCCAAGGGCCAGGTAGGATCCGGCCCGATTGAGCCGTTATGCCGTACTCGAGGATAGCCAAGCTCCTAATACTGCATCAGATCAGCGACACCCGACGCTTGATTCAGGGATTGTGCATGACTGTGAGACGAAGGGATGGAAAAATTTAAGCAACCGATCTCATCTCGATGTCCAGTGTCATCCAGCAGATGAGGTAGGAATGGACCCGAGACAATGGCACAGCCAGAGTTCCGCTTGCTTTCCTGGTCCCTTCGGCTGGAGCGAAGGGCTAAATAAAAAACACCCGTCGGGACCGGACGTTAAATACCCGACGCAGCCTGATGAACAAGCGGTGATGGTTGCCCCTTCGGGTTATCTTTGCCTCGACAGGAAGCCTTTCATGATGGTCAAGCCAATCAACCACCACAACTCCACTTTAGCCGTCACCTTTCGCAAAATCCCCATGGGGTGAGTAGGCCAGAACCCACATTTACTCCGTCTCCCCCGCGCAGTCTAAGGTCACCAGCTTCCTCCAAGAGGATCCTCAGACGGGCCCAGCCAGAGCCAGGATCAGATGATGATGGGTTCGCATCCGTCTAGCAGGCAAGGTGCTAGTCATGCTTGACTGTTCCTCCCTCCTCTCAACATCCACGACCCCACTTCAAGGAGGAGGAGTGTTACCTTGTGTCGGCTCTGGTCGGCCATATAACTCGAGCGATCGCCCGGGAGTTTGAGTTGGGGTTCCTTCTCCAACAGCGAGCCCCTCTAATACATCCCACCGCTCTCCTGACATTGTATCCCCCGACACGCCTCCGACGTTCGCCATGGGCTTCAAGGAGTATCTCAAGGCTCGGTCGCTGAAAGCACCGAGGGACAGCGTTACCAAGGCTGCTGAACTGACCGTCCGGGAATCTATATGGCCCATTTCTCTTGTCACGGTTCTGTTTTTCCTCTGGGGCTTCAGTTACGGCCTCCTTGACACGCTGAACAAGCACTTTCAGAACACATTGAACATCACCCAAGCTCGCTCTGCAGGCCTCCAAGCCGCCTACTTTGGGTGAGTCTAAACTCCCATCTCTACAGTGATATCGAGTGAATATATTGACAGAGGAAAAGCGCATACCCTCTGGCATCAATTGGCCATGCCGCTTGGATTCTTCGACACTACGGTTACCGTGCCGTCTTTATCTGGGGATTGGTTCTGTACGCCATTGGAGCTTTGATTTCAATCCCTTGTATCAAAGCCAAGTCTTTTGGTGGTTTCTGCGCTGCTATTTTCATCATTGGAAATGGGCTGGGATCTCTAGAGACTGCAGCAAATCCCTTCATCACTGGTAGGCAAACCGAATCTTCCTGTACCGCATGCTGGCATGCGATCCTAACATGTCTCAACAGTCTGCGGCCCTCCAAAGTACTCCGAGATCCGAATCAATCTATCACAGGCATTCAATGGAATCGGCACCGTCATCGCGCCTGTCCTCGGCTCATACGTCTTTTTTACCTTTGACGACGAAGCTGCTCTGGCCAACGTACAATGGGTGTACCTTGCTATTGCCGTCTTCGTTCTTATTCTCGCTACCCTCTTCTTTTTCTCGAACATTCCCGAAATCACGGATGCTGGTAGGGATACCCCCCCTCATTGTTAAGGAAACACGTTACTGATGGACCTTAGATATGGCCTTCCAAGCGCAAGAAACCCACACCGACGCGGACGACAAGCCTTTCATCAAGCAGTATAAGCTTTTCCATGCTGCTTTTGCTCAGGCTTGCTACACAGGAGCACAAGTCGCGATTGCTTCTTTCTTCATCAATTATGCCGTGGCAACCAGACCCAACACTGAGGCCGATGTCGGTTCTCAGCTGTTCGCAGGAGCACAAGCTGCGTTTGCCGTTGGCCGCTTTGTAGGCGTATTTGTCATGAGATACGTGCGCCCTCGATTGATATTCTTGGCATTTTTGACGGGCTGCATCATCTTCCTCATTCCCGCCATCGCGATACCTTCCTCCGGCCTCCAAGGAAACGCCGGCGTGGCCATGCTGTACCTTGTTCTGTTCTTCGAGTCTATCTGTTTCCCAACCATTGTGGCGCTCGGTATGCGTGGTCTTGGCCGGCACACGAAGAGAGGGAGTGGCTACATTGTCGGAGGTGTTGTTGGCGGAGCCTTTGTGCCACCATTGACTGGTTTGGCCGCCGACAGACACGGGAATGGTGTTGGCATGGTCGTGCCGCTTTTCTTCTTGGTAGCAGCCTGGAGCTACTCATATGCCGTCAATTTCGTGGCCAACTACGTCAAGGTTGTGGATGCTCTCGGCGACGCCGATATTGGCTTGCAGCACGCAGAAGTTGATGAGAAAGGTTCAAAGACCAGGGCGTCGGTGGAGGAGAAAGCAGCCGTCGGACACGTACAGTAGACAAGAAGGATGGCGGACATTGTATTCGGAATGAGCGTTGTATGGCTCTGCATAATTTTAGGTTCTTCGCCGTAAATAGCCACGAAGGTCTATAGGAAACACAATAGACGTAGTTCTCATTCACAAGATTGCCTACTCTAGCGCCGGGTCTGACCACTCTTCAATGTGAACTCTTACCTATCCGTGTCTACATCCGGTGCAATCAGTTCCTGGGTGGAGTTGCGTTGATAAGAAATCTTATTGTTTAGACAAGAGTTGTAGCTTTGTCCTGTCAGTCTGTTGACAAAGACGAGCTGTCTACACTTTCATCTGATGTCAAAGGCTGCGTGTTCATGATAACAACAAGCGAAAGCGTTGCTAGATAACAAAGGAGATATGTTGGCAGCCATAATGGAAGGAAACCAATAAGACTTGTATATAGGTTCACAAGTCTCTTCATCAGGTTCAAACGGGCTCAGCAAGTTACGCACAAGCAACTTGAACTTCTAACCTCCACTCACTTATTCGATCAATTAATCAACGAACGTCTATTTACAGGCACTCGGGATTAAACATGCCTTTTATTGCTACAGGAAGCACCGGCGTGCAGTATGAGACCAGCCAGTTGCGGTGCTCAAGTAAGGACTTGATGGCAGACTTGATGGCAACCAAGGTACTTGTTGCAAGGCCAGCCGCCCAAGGTGATGTGGGGACGTCGTCCACTGAGGTGTATACCTTGAAGGAGTTGGAGGCTGCGAGCGCACTTGTGTCCCTCTCCTCGGTCCAAACTACGGCCGAGGATGTGGAGGCGGCTAGTATCCTAATGGCCATGTCGAGGTCCTGAGATGGCGGTGGTTAGTCGGGCATGGCGTCGGGGACGTCAGCTCTGGGTGCTGGAAGCCGTCTTTGACAGGGGGAAACGACGAGTAACGAGATATTACTACTGGGAGGGAGGTTAAAGCAGGAAGAGAGGGTTGGGGTCTGTTCACAACTTGGATATAGAGCGCCTATGAAGAGGCATGGTTAATATTGGATGAACTGCTGATGATAAAACATATATTTGTCTTTTGCTTTTCTCTTTGCGCAAGCTTCTATTAACAGTAGCTGGTATCAGTTCAATCGTTAAAAAAAAGGAAACGTAGCAGGCGAAAGCAGCCGCTTGATTGCCTCTATGCACACTATGTTCCGTTTCTCCTCTTACCACCACGCGTGCTCCTATCAATGTGGCCCCTCAACACCTTTCTCGTCTCGACCAGACTCCTCTTCTGCTTGCTCTTGGCTTTGCCTAGGGTCATCAAGAAGTTCTTCTTCCGTGCCTTCTCGCGGTTGCTGGTACTCTTGCCGGCCGCGTCCTTCTTGGACCTGTTGATTGCCCGGGTGCTCTTGTGCTCCTCGCGCTCGGGCTTACCCTCCTTGGCCAGGGCGACCTTCTCCTCCTTGGTCAGCTTGCGGAGTCTGGCCGGGGCCTCGATGTTCTCGGCCGTTACCCCGTCGTCGAGGTGGCGAGAGGTAGGATTATTATTGGATTGACCCTTGCGGACCTTTCCACCCATGGCCCTCTCGAGAGCTGCCTCAGTGCGGAGCTCCTGGAGTTTCGCCAGATCCGCCGGTGTCAGGATGGTGGTTGTGGCGAGCTTGGCCATGCGCTCGAGCTCAGCCGCCCTCTCTTCCTCATTCTCCTCCTCGTCATCGGAGGATTCCTCTCCGCTCTTGCGCTTCTTGGGAGCCGGGGCTTCATCGTCAGAATGGTCCACGTTGATCCAGTCACCCGAAACGCTGCTGTCGTCCGATTCGACCTCCCAGTCGTCGGAATTGAAGCCGTCATCCTCGTCCTTATTCTCCTCATCGCTTCCTGCCGTTTCCGGTAGGCCCTGTTCAACACGTTTCCGCTTCTTCTCTTCCTCCTTCCACTTGGCTAGGAGTTCTAGACCCTCGATACCACCCGACTCCTCTTCTCCGAACTTCATGTTCTTCAGCGTGCCGGCTCTGAGACCAATGGTGGCGTCCTTGCCTCGGTCCTTCTTCTTCAAGAGTTCGGGGTCGACTTCTCTGAAGAGCGACAAAAGACCCTTGGCGGCCATCATGACACCCTTATCCTTGCTCTTCCGGTACTGAACAAGATCCTGAAGCAGTGTGTCGGTCATAGCAAGCGGCTGTCTGGCGCAAATCTCACGGATTGAGTTCAGACCGGCGGCTGCGACCTCAGCAGCCGAGGCCTCCGAGACGAATTCATTCGCAATCTTTTGTAATAAGGGCTCGAGAACATCGGGGGGCACCAGATTATGTGTACCCTGTGCGAGAGAAGCAAGGAAGGACGTGACGGACTGCTGGCGCGGTGTGAGGAACTTGATGAACCACGAGTAGAGCGCAACGATGGTCAGCTTGTGAAGACCGACAAGTCGGGTGATGAGTTGGAGGATGAGGAGTTTTGAGTCCAGGCTCAGCTTGGCTTTGGTGTTTTGCAGATGCTTCGAGAAGAGCTGCTCCGAGAACTGCTGGGGATCGTGGAGGAGGTGGAAGGCGGAGAAGTTGAGAGGGTGAGGCTTGTTCTTCTTCCTCTCGGCGCGGTGGACCTTGTCGACGGCCTTCTCATACGCCTTCTTCTGCTTCTTGGTCTTCTTGTTGATGCCGATCTGATGCCTGATCTTGGAGAGATCCACTTCCTCGTCGCTGCTCTCGTCCTCCAGTTCCTCACGCTCCTTGTCACCGCCGAGGAAGAAGCGGACTGCGCCGATGGCCACCTTTTCGTTGTCCGATAGGCAGGCCTCCTTCATGACGTCCACGGGCTTCGAGTCGGTCCATATTTGACGCTTCCACAGTTCCCTCGTCAGCTTGATTGCCCAAATGGCTCTCGGCGAGGATCGGTCCGCTGTGACCATATTGTAGAGGACAGTCTGGATCGTGCGGTTCAGAGGATGGTTGATGGCTTTGGTGTTCGAGTTTCGCATGTCGCTGAGAATCTTCTGGAACAGCACGGCCCTGAAAGACTTGCTGGGGGACGCAACAAGAATGGGGAACAGGCAGGTGAGCACGTTGGCGGAGTCGATGACTTCCTTCCGACGCAGCAGCATCAGACTGCCCACGATCTTGTCCCTGAGTTCCGACCCCAGGATCGTGTGGTGCTGCGACAGAATCGTCTTCAGGTCATCTGGGAAACTGACCGTCTCTTCGGGGTAGCAGTCGGCGACGTGGGCGATCAGGTCGATCAGGTTCTGGAACGACTCGACCTGCTCGGACGAGGCAGCGGCCGGCGACACGAGGAAGATTTCGCGCTGGGACTCATACTGGTCGAATTGGCGTCGGAAGTCGTCAACGTATGATCTATCTTCGCATTAGTCCAGCTAAGCTAGGCAAGACAACTGGATGGGCGATTCTTACTTGGGATCCCGACGGATCTTGTATTGTAGGCTCGCGCTGTGAATCCATGAGGTTAGTTGAGGATTGAGGACCAGCGCATTACAATTGAAACGTACAAGTCTGCATCGATCTTCTCGAGCGCTGCCACTTTTCTCTTCGGCATCTTTTCTTTTAGTCACAACACAATAATGCGTTGTAAAAAGAATGCCAAAAGACCGGTCACTGAGTGGCGGGGGAAAGTGTATGGCTGGGTGTATTTGAAAATTTGGGAAAATGGGATACCGATAAGCACTGATAAGCATGGCGGACCTGGATTTTTTTTAGTTCAGTTTGGAAAGCGACGCTAGCGGTACCTATCCATTAATAGGACAACCTCAGACGACATCAACAAGAGAATATGATAACAAGGGCTTCGAACTTAGGGGAACTTCCAAATCTATCATTGTAAAATTGCAAGAAAAATCTATTATACAACCCATAACATGGGGTGCAGCTCGTCGTCCCTTCTATGGTCTACTCTAGGCAAATATAAAGACGATACCACGCTCAGTCCCGCGCGAAAACGTCCACCTCGTAATCAATTCTAGTCTTCTCATATGTAAAAGTTTTGTTGTTTTTGGGAAATGAGTCGTCTAGGAAACCGGAAAGGCTCTGTTTTCATGCCAAGAGAAATCGCAGAGACCTAGACAAGCCCAGCACTTGGGCACTGCCGAAGTCCCTACCACTCCGCAGCCTCGATCCAATTTCTCCCTACCAGTATGTTCTCCCAGAAAAGTTTTTACTTGGCGATCTCAACACCGCCGGTGGCGTTGAAGTACTTCTTGAGGTCACCTGTAATATACACGTTAGCACTAGTCATTTCACCTTCGGGGATTCATTGCAGGGAGAACATACCGTAGATGGCGAACTGACCGGCGGTCAGAGTACCAACCATGACCAGACGAGCACCAATACCAGTGAAAGAACCCTTAAGACCGAGCTCCTTGCCGATCTTGACGAGACGAGAGATGGTGCCCTCACCGGGGAGACCCTTGGTCTTGTTGATCTTGGAAAGCATGGTGTCGGCGGGTTGAGAAACAATGGCAGCAGCGAAACCAGCAATCAAACCGGAACCGAGGTTACCAATGGTCTGCTGGGCGTCGGAGAGGGACTCCTTGGGCCAAGCCTTGAAGACAGCCTCGGAGACACGCTCGAAGACCACGAACTTGGCCATGGTGTAAGGAATCCTTGAAGTATGTGAGCAGATGTTGACAAAACAAGCGGCTTGAACGGTTGCGATTGTAAGACTTACTGCTTGAAGAGGATAGGACCGAAACCGGCGTAGAAGGCACCGATACCCTCGTTCTTGAGCATCTTGGAGAAACCACCGATGAGACCATTGGCATAGGTAGGCTCAGAGACAAGACGGATACGGGTAGCCTCAAGGGGGCAGAGGGCGATATCGGCGAAGAACTCGGCGGAGGCGGAGGAGGCAAGGTAGACGGCGGTACGGTTCTGGGAAGCAGTCTCGAGGCCGAGAGTGTTGATGGCCTGCTTCTTGAAGAACTCGTATCCACCGAACTTCAGGGCGCCCTGGAGGAAGTAACCGGCGAAGGTAGGGCCGGCACCAGTGAGGAGGGCACCAGCACCCTCACTCTGGACGACCTGGCGGAAACCACCGATCAGACCACGGTTGTAGGTGACGGGGTCGAGCTGGATACGGGTCTTGACGCTGTATTTCAACTATTGTCAGCTTCATATCGAGAAAAGTGGCCAAAGCGCATCAATTGAGAGCGGGCCAAGCCCAGCGCAACCGGCGCATCTTCACATCGCTCAACGCAAGCGAAGAGCGACGCTTCGGATATCCAAAATTCAACCAATTGGCAGGAATAAAACGTACACATCGACGGGGGTAAGACCACCGTGGGTGACGGAGCAGCAGATGGCACCGGCAAGGGCGAAGCGGGAGTAGAGGGCCAGCCCAGTGGGGGCGGGAGCATCAGCGGGAGCAGCCATTGTGAAAGAGATGAAGCAGGAGACGAGGAACTAGGTTGAGAGGAGAGGTGATCTGGAGCTACCGGCCTCGAGGTGGACGGAGAGATCTGGGTAGGGAAGATTGATGGACCTGGAGAAGGCTTGAGGAGGGAGGGAGAAGATTTGAGAGACGGGATTGAGGTTGAGGTCTTTTTTTTTTCTTCGGGGGTAAGGGGGGCCCGGGGGAAGCGCGCCTATTCGCTTGGACTTGGCTCCTAAGCAACGCCCGTGGGGGACTTTCAGCAGGGAACAAAGTCTTAGCTGTGCTAAAGTGCTCGGGAACACTCGGGTAATCCAGGGCCAACGTCCGTTCCAGCCAATCACGCGACGCCGTTGGCTCTAATTTTCACTTGCCAAGCTGGCCTCCAGTGTCCTCTAGTCATGTTGGATCGTCAAAACACCGAGATCCCGGTCTGCCAGGGAAGACATCTTTTACACCTTGGCCACTGAATATGACGATGCGTTCCCTTTGATGCTTCACAAAAAAATGCTCCAAATAGCGCCAATGTTCCTCGGAACAGCGTGAGGCTGAAGCCAGCAAATTTGCTAGCAGCATGACTAGCAGCGGCAAAGCAACCGTAGCTACATACATACAGACGGCACATATTTTATGCCCGTAGCCGACACTTCCACGGCTAGACCCACCAGTGAAGTCGCTGGCTTGATCAACGTGGGCCATGTCATTCTGGCTTTGGGGTTTCACTTCGATCGCAACGGCACAATGCAAGGTCACAGGCTCGGCCCAAGCCAATAGCAATCTGCAGGCATGTTCGGCTCAAGTCTCAAGGCCAGAACCAAGTTGAGATGATACAATTGCCTCTGAAATTCTTCCGGCCTGATTGGGCAAGGGGATGGAAGTGTGCCGGACACAGGGAAGTTGTTTAGCCCTAGGTAGGCATTTAGTGAAGATGCAGCCACGGTGGGCTTTGGATTCGGCAGCATGGCGATTGGTCAATTGCGCCCTAACAGACGCAATCGTTTCCACGATCAATCTTGGCCCGTTGTGCAAGCTGCTGAACCTCTGCCACCGCCTCCTATCACGTTGGCAATAGTTAGGAAGGCATGTTCCCATCTCACAGTGTACTGTCTGTCGCATGAGGTGCTCAAAATACTCAATTCGCTGCCTTCTCCACCGACCCCGACATTTTGATATATCCGTACGCCACATAGTAAAAGAGATTATTCTCCCATGATGTACCCTCCGCCCCGATAAAACGCCTTGGTATCTGTTTTGAAGCCCGTATGAAAATGAGCCGTGTCTGCTCTCCATGATCAATTACCTCGCCATCACACCACGCCAAAAAAGGCATTCTCGTACATGAGCTCCATATCGGGGCCTGCCATGTGCGGCCATCCTACCTCTGCCAACGTCTTTGCCCTCACCTGCTCGCGAACTTGATACAAAAAGCTCGGCGGGCTGACCAGCTTGCCGCCCCTTGCCACCACCTCCTCGTACGCCTCCCAGGCCTTGAGAAACTGCGTCCCAAACGTCACCTGGATGAAGCTGGGCTTCCTGTGTATCGTCTCCCGTAACCTCTGATTTTCCCCAATGGCCGTCCACGCCCGCTCAATTGTGTCCTCTATCGCGTCCGTCCATCCTCGATCGATCATCGGGGGTGCGAGGCGGCGGCGGAGCTCCGTCAGGATGACCATGTATCCCGGGAGAGGGAAATTGTAGCCGGTGTACCATCGGTACTGCTGCAGGTGCTCCGACGACTGGAGGATGTTGTCGTATTCGATGAACTGTATGGCCTCGAGGAAGATCATGTCCCGGCTGGCATCGCTCAGCGCCTCGGCATCCTCGGCTTGGTACCGGGCGAGCCAGCTCCCGATTCTCATCCTGCAAAACGTCTGCCGGGTGGTGATGATTGTGCAGCAGTGAAGAGGAATCTTGGGGTCGCAGTGTTTGAGATATTTCGACTCCACGAACACACAGTAGTCGTCGAGTGAATACGCGGGGCCGCCCTGGCCAGCACGCTTGATGGTGCCTCCGGATATTTGCGCTGAGCGAGTCTTGGTATTGCTGCCGTGCTCCAGAACCGCGGTCGCGAATTCTAATCGGGTCAGAGCAAAGATCATCTCGGTCGGGCCGGTGTGCTCCTTGACCGGCTCCGTGCCGTGGACGTGAAGGTCGGAGTCGTTGACATTCAGAGGTAGCTTGACATTTCCAGGGGTGGAAATCGACGTTATGCTCAGGCCCGTCGTCTCCCCCATCCGGCGGTCATGTCCCACGATGGTCCACCATAGGCGTCGACGCTGTTCGATCTCGAAAGGCGAGTGGCTGAATTGTTCAGGGTCGCTGTGGCATCCCATTCTCTGTGCGAGACGGACCGCGATACTTGCAAGGCAGGAGACCTCACGAGGGTCGACGAACCACCGAATAGACAGCTTCATAGCAGATACCACGTTAGCTACCAATCTTAGAGGGAATGCTGGGAGAGTTTGGGAGACGTACAATATATAAAACGTATGCTTGCAATAAGATGAGGTTGTCGGTACGCATGAAATCGGCGTTGATGAGCGCTCGGTGAGTTGCAGAGTGATACCTTTGCACGAGATACTCCTTTGACCGACCAAATGTTCTCTCGACGGTATCCTCTGTCGATGTCACAACGGTGAGGAGATATATCGAGAACATAAGAGCCTCAATGTTTTTGGGCACCTCTTTGATTTGTGATGCAGCCTTTATAATGTGGCCTTGGACTGTGGGGACATGGGTGACCTTTAGCAAGGGATCGATACAATTCAGATATATCTGCCAGTGTTGCAAGATGTGTACTGGAGAAGGGTGCAATTCAGACACCGGAGAAGAGATGTCAGGCTCTGCAAGGTGAGATTTCGGAAGGGCAGGATCTTGGTAGATCTGATCAAACACGTCATACAAGGTAGAGTTGTCCGGGTCCTCACTGGAATCATCCCGCATGATCCGCTCTGCAGCACGGTACGGGGTATCCTGAATAACGTGTGAGTCTGACGAAGAACCAGTTACTCGATGGACTCCTTGTTGAGAACCAACCTCGCGATGTGTAGGAAATGGCGGGCTCATTGACCTATAGAAACAAGATTCTTTCTTTAGCAATGCTTCCAAATCCAAGTCACACGAGGATACTTACCCGTATCGAGTCCTCTCCTCGTCATCCGAGCTGTCCCCATCCACCGACATTGCCCCCGGCTGTCTCTTCTCACGCTGAGCCCCCTTCTGCTCGAGAATACTCCGCGGATCAATAGGATCGAAGTTTATGTTATTCGCGACGAGCATCTTCTCATACACGTTGATCTGGGCGAGCAGCATCTCCCTGGGGACCGGCTTCTGGCGGCGACGTGACGATGGGTGCGAGGCAGAACGGCACTCCACTTTGGCCTTGACGCAGTTGGAGCAAGGTTTCATTCTGTCGCACCGCACCTTGCGCTGGTGGCAGAGGAAACAGCTGGTGCCACGACCAGACCTTGCGGCCGCGGTGTTGGAGCGTTGAGAAGACATATCGCCGGCTCTCTGGATCGGATCAGTATGGGCAGCACACAGAAAGGTGCTGCCTGATGCTGATGGACGGCACGCAATGCTTATATCATACAGATTACACCACTCCAGATGGCCCAGGTCGGCCGACTATCTCCCCCGGCATATCACTTTTAAGCTCGGTACCGGGGGTGGGTAGACAATGGGTATCAGCAGACGGCCTGCATAACCGCGCGTAGCTAAGCCAGGTTCATTGGGTTAATATATGGGTATGGGTCATCTCAGAAAGCCAGATATTGTGTGGCTAGCAGACCGCTCACCAGTCCTGGCGCGTGCCATGAGGGCCAGCTGGAATCCACATCGGGCCCGAGCATCACGGTCCCTCGTGGCGGGACCCTGAGAGCGGCTCGGGTCCGAGTCCTTGGCGGAGTCCCCGATCCAAACGCAGCTGCTCCTCCTCAAACGGGTAAAAACAACGAAAGGAGGGAAGACAGAAAGCCATCGTGGGGAGATGCGACTGGGCCACCTCATCGTCGTCCAGAACCTAGATTTGGCACGTTGAACGTCCATGCGGGAGGGCATGTCATCAGGCCAATGAAAGGGATGTGATTTTCCCAGGCCTCAGAGGCTTGGACCGCCCTACGAGGAACGCGATGTGACATTAAATGATAATTCTTGCTCTGCCGCTCAAGTACTGATGGGGGAACCGTCCCGCTGGGTGCGTTCTTGGGCGGTTCGAGACATGCACATTGCACCGGTGGTGGTGATGCACCCGAAAATTGAGCCCCCAAAGGCTTGGCGGCAGCCCTGCAATGATCATCATCGCGACCGAGACAAGGGCGGAAACAGGCCGTTGTGGAGTCGGAATGAATGAGCTGCAGGGCCTGAGCGAGGGATATCACCAGGTTGGGCAATTGCTTGTGGACAGGAGGTTGAGACGGGCAATTAATTGCTTTATAGTTCTATCTAGCACTTACTTGTGTCCATAGATCAACAATTTGGCCATCCAACTTACCTCGAGTGGCACGTTATCGTCAATTTGAGGCCCTTGTTGGATTTGCCAGATACCGCAACCTGACACAAACCTCAATCGGACGCTAATGATGGGTCAGAAATAAACGCCGTCTACTAGAGCCAGGCTAACTTTCTCCGCGCGGGATCTCCTGAGACTTCATCATCCGAACATCGATCCCACGGGTTCAATCGTGCCCGAGCTCTATCCAACCGTGAAATTCCACTATCACCTAGGATTTGGCTACGATCCCGGGCCTTGAAAATGGCAGGTGCTGATCTCAATCTGACACGGCCCAGGATCAGGATCATGAGGGGAGCTTTGATACCGGCCGACATCCTGCTGGACGATGAGGTTGAACGCACGCACAACAGGTGTCGCGTGTGTCCCATGTTCAAGAGGACTAAGCGCTAGACGGATTGCCACGTTTGGCATTGCCTGGATCGGAGAAAATTGACCTTGCCGGCGCTCCATCGCAGCGGGACCATAAACCTGGAACCATGCCCTGTTCCGAAGCCAGCAATCCATCACTCGAATCTCACTCAGAATAGGCAGACAACAACTACTACCTGCCATTTCGCTCCAGAGCCGACGACGCTCGGATATGAGCAAGTTTCCAGGTGGCCATGCGACGGGAGTTCAGTTATTGAACGACCCCGAACCATGTTTGAGGTGATAGTCGTTCGCTCCAGGTTAACTGTGCGAAGGACCCTGCCAACACCCATCAGAGTGGCCGGTCACACCCGCAACTCCAAGGTCACGTATTCCTTCGTCTTCTAGGCAGATGAGGCAGGCTGGAGAGCTGAGCACTTTACCGGTCACCGGCTGTACCGCTTCACCAGACCTTTAGCGTTAGAAGTGTGTTTCAAATACTCATCTTCCCCAGATTTCCAAATATGGACTTGCGAAAACGAACTAACGAACCAGCTATTTGGACCTGTGCTAGCCCGTCGATGGCAGTATTGTGTTAGGTGACCGTTGCTCGACCGCCGGGCAAGTCCACGCTCGCGGTGGGCTAGTTCTTCGGAAGCTCCAAAGAAACGGCCGTTCCAAGCTAGATTACCCACGGGACGAGGACAGGACAAGGTCCCGCTGACCGGTGCTCGCGAGACTAAATAAGCGAGGGAAATAGTCATCCACGGCAATGGATATTGAGGGTGTCGTCAAATACGAGACGTTGAGCTGGTTGGGCAGCGAGCGACTCCCCCTCAGCCAACATCCCGCTTGCTAACCGACTTCGCAAAAAGGCTCAAAATGCTCAATTCTAAAGAGTGGTCAGCATTTAGGTTCTTGCCTCGTCGCAGGGCGTGGTATGCTTATTACGTCTAGCCAGGCATCGTTGCCTTGAATGACAAAAGACCACCAGGCTTCAGGGTAGTAGCTGAGTGCATGGCATGATGACGGATAGTGAATGGCGGGGAGAAGGACCTTTGTGGTGCTACACGCAACATCCCCTCACCTGTCGACGGCCATGCGGCAAAATCGTTTGCCCAATGGTAGCAAGGAGAAGTCAGGGCCGTCGGTTGCACCCATGAAGTCATCATGTATTACGGTCATCTTAGCGAAGTGCGGCTCTCCGCGCATCGCGAGGACCCCATGGAGCCATGCATCATGACCAGCTCATGTATGCACATGTTTCTCGTCAAGGATACAACTCGTGAGCATCACCTTGTTGGCTTGGCGATGGGACTCTGCATGTCGTGGCAGGGTCCGTCCTGGTCTCGATCGATGCCCTTCCAATTACGCCCTTGCGTAAAAGTCTAGAAGGAGGGGAGCTATGAAGACTTGGAGAGCGAGGAAAAAAGCAAATCCTTTTTTTCTTCTCGATTCGATTGGTTCGACAATCGACCCCAGCGTCCCGGATTGACTGCCCCGGTGGGCAGAGACCAAAGCAGATTCGAAGGTTGAAAGACGAGAGGGTGTGGATATCCCGTATTGCTCAAGTCAATGATGAAGGGTAAATCAGGTCCAGTTGGGCTGGGCGCATGTTTCCTGCATCCTTAGTCACCGGATTGGGGACCCAGCACCCGATCTCAGCTTCCGGTCTGCCTCGTATTCAAGCATGCAGAGGTCATGCCTTCTGCATGTTCTAGCTTGCCAACGCATGTGTATATGTCGGTTGACGACATGGGTTGCGGTGATTGCCTTGCCTGGTTTCTGTCCGCCTAGCCCTTCCATTGCCATTCCGCCAGCCTTTTCGCAGGTAAATCAGGAATACGCTGAATGCGATGCAACGGCACTGTGAAGCGAGCTTACCAAGAGGAGCTCCCCTGCCTAGTGCGCCTGCACACGCTGAGTTCTCCTCTGCATCTAGCTCTAAGGGGTACATTTTGAGTTTGATCGCTCTGTTTCCTCCATTGGGCCCTTCAACGTACGACATCCCAGCTCGCTCTCTAGCACTGAGAAAGGCGTTGAGGCTAGCCTTAAGCATAATGCAGCGAAGCTCTGTCCTGTCTGTGCCCTAGGAATCCCTGTCTGCCACTGGGACCGTTACCAACAGTTCTTTGTTTTCGTTCGTTTTCCCCCACTTCCAAGGACAGGGGTAGGAGGAGAAAGTTCTCTGTCCAACACCGATACATCCGCCTTTCTCATCAATCCAGAGTGGAGAAATACTACCTTATTCAAATCCTTGCGAAAGGGCAGCAAAACAGCCGAGAGTCACGATTCTCATAGGTAGGGGGTTGGGGTAGAGATGCAGGTTTTCTTGGCTGGGAAGTAAACGAAGCGAGGGTGGCTTCAACCGCTGATCACGATCATTCTCCAACCTTCTCCTCATTAGCTGATGCTGCGTAGGTTTCTGTAGAAACGTGACGGAGAAGAGGGGTATGAGCGAATAGGCCAGGGCTGGTAAATAAGTGCCTGCACTGTAACGTACCACTACCACCCTAAAGATCCAAATCTTCTGCATGTCTTATCAACTCGTCACTCCATCAAACAGTGCCTGGGGAGATTTTTTCTTGCACATTCGCTCCCCTGCATATTCCACCCCCTTCGATGCCAATGTTGCCCTGATGTATGTGTGCTCTCCTGCAAGGCAAAAGTAAGCGGTCCCACGGAAAGGGTCGCCTGGGAGGCCGGGACACACACGAAGCTCTTGCATGACGGAAGAAGAGCTGTAAAGGGGCAAGGGTAGTCGGTTAACTATCAGGCAGCGCCAGCATTTTAGAATGCGAGGGAACGTGGTTGGAATCAAGGATTTGAGCTGACTGCAGGCCTCGCCTATGGTCTTTGTGAAGACCACCAATGGCTCAATCGTGGCAATGGAAAATAGGAAGATCTCAATTATATCGACGACTCGTGCTACCATTTCGACTAAAGTATGAATCAAGAAGCTTTTGAAATCGTTATTCAACGCCTAAATAATAGGGCACGTGGAACAAAGTTGGCGACACTAAGTTCCGATATCAGCCCTCTCTGTGTCTCGTACCACGGCTGTATAAGCGAAGAGGGTGCAAGTTGCCATGAGCCAATGGGTCTGTGTGGTGGGCGTGTGAGGGAGGGGTGTTTCTCATTGATCTATGATGGAGATCAACTAACAACACCAGCCCAATTGATAGACCGGCACTTTGCCCGTGACGATGATAACACAAAAGGACATGGCCTGGGGGGGGCGTTGGGTGAGGTAGGGTTGGGCAGAGCGAGGCAGGGCAGGGGTTGTCTACTACTACATCTTGGCTCGGCAAAGGCATGGCCGCTTGAGCTCTTGGCTGGACTGGCCGCCAATCACCGATCGATCCTCCGTTCGATTGGGATGTCAGTCTTATTGGTAGCAACCTCGTATTAGATTTTGGCATGGAGAGAACCAGTTGGCACACGGTATAAGATCTGATGGCTCCGGATCGCTGGGTGCTTCCCGCTCTTCTGAGACGGTTCACGTTTTACTCGTCTCGTTTGAGTACAAATCTACTGGCATTCTATACACAGTCGTTATCCACTACCCGGACTCTCGCTTACACGTTCGTTCCTAGCTGTCACTTTGATCCGTTCGCTAGCCCTACAACCCGGGGTGTTTCAGCCATCCCTTTGGCGACGTTCGTTGACAATGAAGGGCCTCATCTTCATAGGCGCTATGGCCCTTGGCCTGGCATCTGCCCATGAATATCCCGACTGTGAGCACGACAACTGCTACAGGAATCTCATTGACCCACGTTTCAATGGCGAAGGGTTTTGCTTCGAGTTTCTTTCGGGCACTACCACCGCCCCTTCTGCTATTCCCACGGATTTCAATAATTGCCAGGGTGATGTGAAGAGGGTTTCCTCTGCTTGTTCTTGCATCACTTACACGGCCACACACACAAGCGAGCCTCCCACATCTACCCCTTCTACTTCGACCGTCCCAAGCACGGAATCGACTACCCCATCATATACCAAACCAACCCACACCAAGCCGACTCATACCAAGCCTACACACACCAAGCCAACGGAGACTGAGACGACTCCTTCTTTCACCAAGCCAACTCATACCAAGCCAACCCACACCAAACCTACTGAGACTGAGACTACATGTACGGAGACTGAGACCACTCCCTCCTCCACCAAGCCAACCCACACTAAACCGACACACACCAAACCAACTCACACCAAGCCTACTGAGACTTCGACTACATGTACAGAGACTGAGACTACTCCCTCCTCCACCAAGCCAACTCACACTAAGCCAACACATACCAAGCCTACACACACCAAGCCTACTGAGACTGAGACGACTCCTTCTTTTACCAAGCCAACTCATACCAAGCCAACTCATACCAAGCCAACTCACACCAAGCCTACTGAGACTGAGACGACTCCTTCTTTTACCAAGCCAACTCATACCAAGCCAACTCACACCAAGCCTACTGAGACTTCGACTACATGTACAGAGACTGAAACCACTCCTTCTCACACTCACACCAAGCCAACTCATACCAAGCCTACACATACCAAGCCTACAGAGACTACTACTCCTTCTCACACCAAACCCACCCACACTAAGCCAACCCACACTAAGCCTACACATACCAAGCCAACGGAGACTGAGACTACATGTACGGAGACTCAACCAACGGAGACTACTACTCCCTCTCACACCAAACCCACGCACACCAAACCTACTCACACCAAGCCTACGCATACCAAGCCAACAGAGACCAAGCCTACGGAGACCCAACCCACAGAGACCAAGCCTACGGAGACTCAACCCACAGAGACCAAGCCCTCGCACACCAAGCCCACACATACCAAGCCATCTCACCCACCACCTCCTCCTACTACCACAGAGTGGACAACCTCGACTATTTACACAACCACTTGTATCACCATCACCACCTGCCCTCCTGAGGTACCAAACTGCCCTGGTACCACCACTACCATCACTACCACAATTCCTGTAACCACGACAGTGTGCCCTGTTACCAGCCAGCCTGCGACCACCGTTGTGGAGAGCTCCCACAAGCCTCCTGTTCCATCCTCTGCCCCGCCTGTTGTCGGGAGCTCAACCTTTGTGACGATTCCAGTCACCAAGTCAGAGAAGCACGAGGCACCAGCTCCTTCAAGCTCGGCACAGCCAACACAGCCCACGCAGCCGGCCCAGACATCGCAGCCGCCGGCCCCAACAACACAGCCTGCACCCGTACCTGCTGGGGCTAATCAAGTTAGCGCCGCGGTCCAGATTGCCCTCATTGCTGCTGGTTTGGTGGCTCTCATGTAAGAGGTCGGAGGGCTACGACGAGTTAGATTAACGCTATGGAAACCATCTCACAACGAGAAAAGACGAGAAAAAAGAGAGAAGAGAGCAATGGACAAGAAAGAGAAAGTAACAAACCAACGACGTCAGGAACGGCCTGACGCATGAACATGCATGACTGCAACGTCATACAACGATCCTTTACATAATTTTTAGTCGATTTTTGCCCCTGGCATACATATTCAAGATACGATTGATGATAGCATTTTATTCTTCAGACACCGGTGTCTCTCTTGCTGATGGAATCCAATGGACTGTGGAAGTGGGGGGAAGCTAAGTATGTTGGCCGTTCCGTTGGGTTTCGTCATGCTTCAAGGCTGGATTAGAGGATGCATGAAGGTCTTGTGGAGGACACAATATTAGTAATATAGGATTTTATCAAACTTCCTTGCTCATACCACCTACCTAGTTGAATGGCCTGCCTGTGTTTATGACGGAGAGAGATGGAAGCATTTGTGGTAAAACCGATGTCTCCAGCCCCTGTCTTGTGGCTTGAGTCCGAACAGAGGACGGACTTTGCCAGCGTTTGGGTGTGCCACATGCGGCGGCGACGCCACACTAGGAGGGAGATAACGCCACAAGTCAGATATTATTAGTTGTGGCTGGCACCAATCATATACCAGAATTATCAAAAGATGGTGTGGCGTGGGCTGTGGCGTAGGCTGACCAGTGAGCCACACCACGAGCTGCGAAAGCCCTCTTTATCTGCTTTGGGCGCCTCGTGCGGGCTGTGCTGCTGCCTTACCGTCGGAAATGCACGAAACCCCCCTGATCCCCTCTAGTTTCTACATTTCTCACCCGGGATCGGTTCCACCCGCTGAGTAGATGGGCCAATGCTTCTGGCTAGCGCTGCGGATCGAGACGGCTCGCTGTCAAACACCACAGATGTGGTGTTGCTGCCTCCATCTTTTTCATGCCGTGGCACGATGGCAGCGCTTTAGGCCTCGTTTCCCAAGCCTGCAGCTCGGAAATCTCCCATGGGCCCCGTTCGTCGCACTTGAAACACACAGGTGGCTTGGTCGCTCTCTAGGGCAGCGAGGGCCAATCTTTCTGGCAAAACCGCCTGGAGAGCTACAAAGCCCGCAGCTCGAGTGACCAGGCTGACCAGGCTGGCTACCTAGATGGCGGCTCATTGCGGCAATCAGGATGCGATCCGCACCTCCCACTCGATGATCAGCCAGTGGAGTCCAGGACTCTGGTTGTTCAGTGCAGGAGCCGGCGCAGTAGCTCCCCGCCACTGAAGACTGGGGCCGGGTCTTGGGTTCTTCAGGAAAGGAAATACCACCACCCTTGGCCCATCCCATAGCCGCGATCGTGAATAGGGCCTGGCTGACGGACCAGGGGCGCAGTCCGAAGAGCAAAACCGACTACTCGTATCGGATCCCCCGCGATCAGGATGTGAAATAGACAATCCAGGGAGTTGTTCAGCTGGGCCGTGGCCGTGGCAGGGTTTGCAGGGCCTGCTTGGCTTGTCCGGACCCTTAGTGAAGACTCGAAATCTCCGGTTGTACGCAGGGATCTGGTGTAAGAAAGGGCCCCCAAATTCGATTGCCGTACATGGCATTCTATTATCAGCCTTGCGGTCGTCCCGTGCCTCTGCCCATTCTTTTAAGCGCCATCCTCGCCCACTATGGCTGGTGTGGCTAGTACTCCCCGCGATTTGGCATACCAGGATTGTTGCCGTTATCTTTTTCGCACTTTAACCACGACTCGTCACATTTCTTTCGTCCTGGCTGGCTCTGTGAGGTCGGCTTCGACAAGCAAAAGCCATGATGAATCAGGCTTCGCTGTCGCGGCTGGAGATTCCAAAATCATCTTGCTCCCCGCCATCGGGTTCTCACCTGGTGTCAGGACGCCCGGCGTTATGGACACTCTCTAGTCAGCGAAAGATGTGCAGACTCTACCTGTACACCACTCTCAAGATCAACGAAATACTGGCCGTCGTTTATCATACTCAGAATGTGGAAAACTCCCCAGGGTACGCCACACCCATGACCCAGACGTGGATGAAGACTAACTTGGAGTGTAAAGCAAAGACTCGGCTCAGAAGAAGCTCAAGGAGCTTCTTGACAAGGAATATCGATGGCTTAAGCCAGCTGACGAGGACGACATGTCCAGACGATACACTCAACTAGTCCAGTCGCCAACTAGATCAAACCCTCAGATTAGCTCGATCATGACCCGCCCAAGCTCTCGTTCAGACCCTCCTCCGTACTCGAGCAACTCCTCACCCGCGCCCGTCAAGCCCGAAAGGGAGGTTCACTCTGCAACTCTTGAGAACATGCCTGAATACTCCTGGAGCCACACCAGTACACCAAACCTGGCGTTAGGTTCTCCCTCGGCAAATTTATCTGTTCCTGGAGCGGGTGAGCAGTATGCCGGTAGCTCACGCCGCCGATCCTCGGCCAGCCCAGGGACGAACCTTCATCCAGCCATGTACCTAGAGAGGCAGGGATCGATGATGTCTACGTCTACTAATCAAACAACAGGCTCGTTTAACCGACTGCTTCCTGACTACTCTGAATCTTATGTCGACTCTGTCCGGAAACTTGTTAAAAGATACACTGCGCCTCTCGGGTCGTCGATGTTGGAGCGGATGGTACCTCAGTCAACTGTGTGGTATAACGACGTTGATGCACCGTCTTGTCAACCCGGTCGGCCATTTCCACTTCCGGGGGATTTCCTCACTCTCGATGTGCAACTCCAACAGCAGGGGCATTGCTTCCCGCAATCCGAAGAGCACAGCTACCGATGGTGCCTATGTCACGTTGCCGCGGAGATTTCAGAGCAGTCTTGGGTCATGCCTCAAGGTCCTACCCCGTTCGCACATCAGTTGCTGACTGTTGGATTACCGCCTACTCAGGTAGGGTACCGGGACGCCTATGGAAACACTGCCTTGCACTTTCTTGCTGCGAGAGGATTTCTCGATCCTTTGCTTAATACTCTCAATGCTCAACCTACGTCAGCTGTGGCCAACGCCAAGAATAGCGCTGGGCAGACCTTTGTCCATGTGCTCCCTCCATCGCTGCTGGGGAATTTGGACACGACCTGCCGACTGCTAGACTTCCTCCTTAACAAAGTGTTTCCTGATGGCCAGAGGTTCAATGTTGGTGCTCGCGATGACTATGGCCGGACCATTTTTCACCTGCTGTTATCCATGGACCTCTCGAGAAATGCGTTGCAGTTTCTTTTGCAGCGTTATGGCGGAGTGTTCCATGCCCCGAGAGACGCATTCAACCTTATGCTCGTCGGCCAGGAACCAATTCCTTATGACCCTTCGCACGATGCAACTTCCCATCGCTCGAGCCCAGAGTCGTCCGATTCTGAGAAAGAGATATCGCTTGGTGCTGAGCCTTACTACAAGGAAGCCCGTCTTTTAGAGCTGGCTCGGAAGGCTTTGGACGAGCCTAGGAAGGAAGACTCGGAAGGCCGAAATGGGCTCCATTGTCTTGCTATGGCATCGCTCAGCAAGGCCAGCGCCGTCAACAAAGCCGAGCAGAGCAACCGAAACTCTCCACCACGTCTGAGGAGAAGGGTCCAAACAGTACACGGAATTATCGACTCGTCGATTGACCGACTCAATCTCCGACATAGACTGGTGGATGAGCTGCTGAGCAGCGGTGTCGATCCGAACCATTACGATAGCAACGGGAACACGCCACTTATGGCATTCACGGCCGAATTGCCCGAAGACGATGATTACAAAACCGGGCCTATGATACTGGACCTGCTCTTGAAAAAAGGCGCTGACGTCAATGCCCGAAACAGAGGTGGAGAGACCGCGCTGCATATCGCTGTGCGATGTGGACGGAAGCTTGCTGCAAGGGCCTTGATCGAACACGGAGCCAATGTGCACGCCCGGGATGCTGCGGGGAGGAGCGTTCTCATGGTTGCTGACGTGAAGATGAAGAGCGCTCGGGAGGATGACGCCAAGGAGTATGCGCACTTGGAAGCCTGCCGTGCCTATCTGAGTGGCAAGGCGGGGGCTGTACAGGAACCAACCGTGCTCCAGGAATGGGGATCCCGGTCGATGTGATAGAACTATCTCTAACAGTAGACTAGATGTTTTGACTTTATTTTGAGAACTATACCTGAACTTATTGGTTTTGTTTTGCGGTTAAAGTGGCTGGGGCGTTTCGGCATTGTTAGGAGCATTGATTTTCAGAATCGGGAGGCTAGGATGGTCCGACTTTTTCAGCCTCTACTGCACAAGGGAGGCTGTAAAAGCTTGATCATTTCATGTTTGGCGTCTTGGAGTTCTCCAGGCTACGGAATATACGGAACATAACTTGGATTCACTGATACTTGGGACTTGATTTTGCATTCGAAAGGGGATTCTGCTTTTTTTTTTTTAATAAACAGCATAAATTCTCAAAGGAAATAATAGGAAAAAGAAAAGCCGTTGAGTCTCGCATAACTGAGCCCAGAAGAGATTCAAGAAGAGGGACCAAAAAAAGCCCTTGCAGTGGTTCATTTGTTTTGAGATTCTGATTTGTCTTCCGGCTCTGATTTGTCTTCCGACTCTGGTTTGTCTTCAGACTCTGACACTCCTCCCCCGTCCTTATTTGGTTCACGCGATCTTTCATCCTCCCCCCCGCACACAGCCCAGACCGCGAAACCCAGGAAAAGAGCGCCAATCAAGCCAAGGCAAATGAAAAAAGCGATATCACGAGTCCGCTCGGCACTTTCTGCTCTTGCTAGTAGCCTGACTGGCCGCAGCGGCTCGAGATCCATTGAAATGGGAGGCATTGTGAGAGGGTCGGTCGGTTGCCCGCGTTTCTTCTGGAATATGTCTGTCGAAAACTTGGAGATAGTGCGGGTGCCAGAATAACTCGGGATTCCAGGGGCCTTGACTTCAATGTTCTAGGTTCCTGAGCTAAGCAATGTCAGTACAAACAGCCGAAATAGAGAATCAAGGTACCAAAACCCACAACGGCAGCGAATTCTGCGCCGAGTTCTTCAGTCCGGATCACTCTGCGGTGTGTAATGTGGTTGCTCGCAGTAAGATGGAGGAGGAGGGGTCAGCTCCAAGTCGTCGAGATGTTCGCTTGGTTGCGATTCCCCTTGTGCAGGCCTGGAATAGCTCGACGCAGTGTTCTCTCTGCCCGTTTGTTCTTCGCGCAGGATACAAACAAACCAGATTAAGTAAACGACAAGACTACAGATATAGACAATATCGGTGATTGATTTAACCCTTGCCTCCCGTTCTTCGTCCGAATCTCGAGTCAGAAGCATAGTCGCCTGTAGAAATTCGCAAGGGCCTTGGACAGGAGGTATCAGTAGACCTGATACCTTTCTTGTTTCTTAGCTCTGGAGAATGGCCAAGGACTCAGATGGGTGGAGGTGAATGGTGCAGAAGCCAAAAAATGCGATTTTTGGGCCTCTATATACTGAGACGAAAGCGAGCTGCGGCTCTTTTCCAAGGGTCCATTCTTCGAGCAAACATACAAATTTTTGTTTGTGGCACAATGGGTGCCTGCGTGGTGGCATAGTTATTATGTGCGATGGGGTGAATGATGCACACTCCCGACAAAGCTCCAGAGTTCGGGACATGGTGCAGGCTGAAATAGGGGAGTTTTAATTGAGGCAGTGCCTTCCAAAACATTGTTTGAGTGCTGCGGCCAGTGCCATGATTGCCTGTAACACACACAATTGGCTGTTCCGTTCCTGCAGGCAGTTACTTCAGGCGTGCGTGTGACACCGACTGACTAACCTGCGTCCGACATCTCAGAAACCTGCTCTCCTTCTTCCCTCCATCGCCGGGCGCACAAACCAAAAAAGCAAATAGACGGCCATACTCACGAGCACAAAGAGGAATTTTCGCCGCGCCTAGGCACTGCCCCGACACCAGACTCTGCAGCTTTTCTTGGTCCTGGTGCATCGCCATTCACGCTGTTCCGTGTTCCCCACGTGCCCGCCTGTTCTCGTGCCTTTATTTGTGCCACAAACAAAGCGGACAACCGCTTAAATCTTCATTCGCCAGTTCGTTATCCACCCTTTGTTCTATCCAAATGCATCGTCACCGGGTAGCAGCATTCCTTGCTTGATCGATCGCCTCAAGCCAGAAGCCATCCTAGCCAGAGCTAGGATGGGCTAGTAGAACGGAAAGCAAGCGACAGTTGAGAAAGAGGCTGTTTCTTATCAATATCGAGATGACGAGTGACTTTCGATTCAGTATCCCCGATATTCTTCGGACTTTTACCCTGTTCCCATCGCTACCAGCAGAGCTTCGGCAAGAAATATGGCACAGCGTCATTTCCGAGCCGGGCATCCATTTTGTCAAGTTCGGGGACGAGGACTCCAAGTTAACCTGGGTATCAAGGCCATCCCAAAGGTTGGAATCGACTGTAGAGGGATGGCATTATCAAGCACTCGTCAAACAACGTGCTCGGAGAGAAAGACGTGAGGGTAGTCTGAAACGGATTGCAGATGCAAGATTGACTCCACTCGAGTCAAACCACAAAGCAGACATCTCAAATTACAAGACACTGCGAGAGGAGCTGGCAAAGATATCCGCCGTATGCAAAGAGTCGGCGGCATTCGTTTCCAGCCTCCTTTCCAGGCCCGGCACTTTAACGTTTGAGAGCGGTGGTCTTCTTTCCTTGCAGGACTCCCAGGATGTGGTCTACATTGAATATTTCCCCATGGGGATTTATCAGACGGGTTGCGCGCTGGCAGTCGACCCATTCTGCCCAGAGCTTCAGAAGATCCGCTGCGTCGCCGTGCGGTTTTGTCATCAATGGCAGGATGATGAGTTGCCGGTTCGATGCGCATTTTGTCGACAAGTTCACACGTCTGGTACGAGAAAGTCATACCCTACACATCTGTATCAATTTCTCGCACGGTGTTTCCCGAACCTCGAGCAGGTCTGGCTCATCGATTACTTCCTTCGTCCAAGGGCTACGGGGAACAGCGATTCTAGCGTGTCGAAGGAAGATAATGACGCCACAAAGGGCCTTATTGAGAGAAATCTTCAAAGGTTTCGGTGTCATGGCAGGATCTACCACGAAGCCACGCCAGGCTTGTGGAATGTCAAGGCTGATTCGATGGAGTTGAAAACATGGCTTCAGGAGAGCTTTGTCAGGTACGCCAAAAACAGCAGCCACAGCCGCGTCAAGGGCCCAGAAAAGGTCAAATTCGGCTTTCTAGCGTGTGACTGGCAGTACCAGTATACCTCGCCTCCAGTAATTGCGGAAAGAAAAATATCAAAGTATTCGAGTCGATATAAGCGACCCGTCAGTTTACCCCGGCGATTTCCACCTACAGCGTATGGGCGGATGGAAGACTTGAGGCACAGTGGGCACGCAGGCAAGGTGCAAACAGATATCCCATTTGTATTTGGTCAAGGGCGTTATCACGATTTTAACCCAGAACTGAGGCTCTGACTCTTACTCTCTTAGCTGCTTTTCTTGTGCCCCTGCTTCTGCTCATCTCAAGACTGTTAGGAAGCTCCCTTGATTGCATGAATAGCGATAGAATGAATTTGAACTGGATACGATGAAAAAGAGACTTTGCGTATCTCTCCTTGCCCCTATAAACCAAAGAACAACCCTAATCAAGTAGATTATCTTACATTTTTATATCCCATATATTTTTAAATTGATTAAAAAGAGATTCAATATATGAATCGATCATGCCTGCATCCCATACATCCTACTCAGGTACCCCAAGGCCAGAAAACTTAGGACGGTAACGTCGGATCATGTCTGAGCTTCCTCTCACCACTGTGTTTTCCATAACCCTGGAAAACAGGCCACGCGTAACATTGAGCTGCCAACGCATACCTGTAAGCGATCATCCGTTACACATCCGCTAATTGCAGGCTGGTTGCATCCGTGAAACCCACCATTTCGCTCGACGTATCAAGTTGGTCAGCCGGAAGCCTCATCAGCTTGCTGTGGAAGAACGCTCTTTCATAATCATTTTATCTCTGTTCCAGATCGCCCTCGGTTTTCAATTTAATAAGAAAGTCAAAACACGTAAACGCAGCTAAATTGATTGTACTCATCGTGCCTGTTAGTATTTAATTCTTGCACGTTCAGCCAAGAGACCCTTAAAATTGTAGGTGGTATAGGGTACCTAGGCATTATTGGTGGTACAGGCGCTGAGCTGAGCCCAACAGGTCATTGACTTCGGGACCTGGAAGTCAATTCATGCACCCTCCATCTTTTGTAATCTCAAGTTCCGATCGACACTCATCCATTATGATAAGTCGAACAGATCTTTCCTTGCTGATCTCAGGACATTCTACATATCCCAAACTTGTACACCAGAATTGATTTACAGATTTGTTCCAAGACTCTCGACTTTCAGGATGGAAGTCTTCCTGGCAAAACTGCCCCCCATCAATGAAGACCAACTCAAGAAGGAGCTGAAGCCACATTTGGAGGCCCTGGACATTGCTGAGTATTACTGCTCCAAGGCTCGAGGAAAGGATTATGCTTGGGTCACATTTATCGACGCCTCCGATGGATCTAAATTTCTCCAGAGACATGGCGAGTCGCTGCCGAGCGACGGTGGCAGCGCTTTCTTCAGAACCTCCTTACGTAGGCTCCTCATTGCCAATTCCCTGGTGGTCGCTAAGAAAAGCAGTCGTCAGCTTGACGAAAAATTCTTGAGCTATCTCAAGCTGGAGCAGAAGCGGAAAGCAGAAAAGGCTAAGAGGGCTGACAGGAAAAGCCAGCCACTGACTGATTCTTCATCATTTACCGTCTCCTCTGTAGCCTGCGGCAAGAACATCTTCGTCCAAAAGGACAGCCAACTTTCATTCGTGTCGCAGACCTCGACGTCCACCTTATGCAGCGCGAAGATCACTCGCCGTGCGTTGATTGTTAGTTCAGATACTGACGGGTCCCGCATCGACATCCCATACAACATCATTCAAGACTTTATCGTCGCCCGGCAATGCCAAAAAATCACGCTGGTGTTGACTGAGGCCCCTAGGTTCTATGAAAGCTTCAAGACCCAGACATATGATAGGAATTCTGAGCCAATGGAGAAACGAGGATGGGTGAGAGAAACGCATTTTCACAAGTTGCCGGGCCATACGAGATGCGTCTCGCAATGTCTGGTATACCAGTTCCAGGTCGTTGACCGGGATTTTGAGCAACTTGTCCGGCGCTGGAAAACTCAAAATTACGTATCAATCACAAGATACGATCTTCTCGCGGAGCCATCTACAGGGATCCCCGGTGATTATTACTCAAGTTGGATGAAAGTATTCGAGACCGAGCTCCTTGACCCCAGGAGACACAGAGGGCTGCCGTTCCCATTCTTATTCCAGGTTCAGGGCCTAGTTTGGAACAATTACCTTCATCCTTCGGATGCACATCGTATGTTGGAGGGAATGGCTGAAGCTATTCGACTGTGTCGTGCAAAGGGGGCCGACTTGCCCTTAAGTGTTGAGTCAATGAAGAAGCTGCGCCAGCGGATTCCATACCCTTGCCCTGGAGTTGAGCCAGAGCAGCTTGATATATCCGAGCTTTTGGATATCGTCCTTGATAAGGAAACAATACCTGACGTTAGCAAAGGTGGAACACCGCAGAGCGAGTGTTATAGAACAAGCCTACCCTCTCACCAAGCATGGGTGATGAGGGCCATCGTCACCCCTACCAGGATTCTACTCGACGGACCAGACCCCGAGAGCAAAAATCAGATACTGAGGAAGTATTCCCATCATGCAGAATATTTCCTCAGATGCAGCTTTTGCGATGAAGATGGTCAAGATTTAGCATTCAACCCTAACGTGTCTAACGATCGTATATATGACCGATACAAAGAGGTGATGAGGGCAGGCATCCAAGTTGCAGACCGAAGGTATATGTTTCTGGGATTTTCGCACTCGTCACTGCGAGCCCATTCTGTCTGGTTCATGGCGCCCTTTATGGATGATAAATTGGGGTTACAAAGCTATAGCTCTGTCATTAGAGGGCTCGGCGACTTTGACGCTATCAGAGTGCCGGCGAAATGTGCAGCACGGATAGGCCAGGCATTCTCAGAAACACCGTTCTCTGTGCCTGTTTCCTCACTTGGGATCGGATCACGTTCTATCCCTGATGTAAAGTCGAAGGATGGGTCTCGAGTGTTCAGCGATGGTGTAGGGACCATTTCAGCCGAAGCCATGGAGCTGTTCTGGGACTATCTCCCGGCCCAGTTGAAATCCACGGCCCCTACCTGCTTCCAGATACGCTGGGCAGGGGCCAAAGGAATGCTGGCGCTGGATTCTAGCTTGAAAGGAAAGGTTTTTTGCATCCGAGATGAGTCCATGAGAAAGTTTATTAGCAGCGATGTCGCCGAAATGGGTATCTGCGACACATCGTCGCGACCACTTCGTCTCTGGCTCAACCGTCCGATGATCAAGATACTGGAAGATATGGGTACTAATCCTGAGTGGTTCTTGGAATTGCAGAAAAAAGAGCTCGAGAACTTGCGGGCTGTCACTGTCGACATAGCCAAGACGAGCGTCTTCTTACGGCAGCAATCCATAGCGGCTCCAATGGGGTTTCCAAGTTTCCTCAAACATCTTAGTGGAATTGATATTGATTATCGAGATGACGATTTTATGAGGGCCGTGGTGGAGAACGCGGTCTTGAGGGAACTTCGCTTACTCAAGCACAAAGCACGTATTCCCGTTAGCAAAGGCGTCACTCTTTTCGGTATCATGGACGAGACGGGTTTTTTGAAAGAGAACGAAGTCTACATCACGTTTGACAAGAGCCAGGAGAAGATATCCCGGCCTCCGAGGGAAGGGCGGGTTCTAGTGACTCGCTCACCAGCACTGCACCCGGGTGATATCCAACTTGTGGACCTAGCCCGCCCACCCAAGGGTAGTCCACTCCGAGACTTGAAGAACTGTATTGTCTTTAGCCAACAGGGCGACAGAGACCTTCCAAGCAAGCTCAGTGGCGGTGATCTGGATGGCGACATATACAATGTTATATGGGACCCAGAAGCGAAGCCTAAGAGGACATTTGGTCCAGCGAACTACCCCAGGGTGACTGCTCCAACTCTCAGCCGACCGGTGACGAGCAGGGACATAATTGACTTCTTCATCAATTTCATGAAGACGGATATTCTGGGATTGATTGCGACTAGACACCTCACGATGGCAGATCACAACGCCGAGGGTACGATGAGTTCTGAATGCCTCAGTCTAGCAGAGCTGCACTCTACAGCAGTCGACTCCTCCAAAACAGGGATACCAGTTGATAACCGCTCCCTTCCCAAAGCGCCCAAGTACAGGCCGGATTTTCTATCACCAGCCACCCCATTGAAGGTTTATGATATTGGTCAAGTTGAAATCAACGAGGATGACGATGACGATGACGATGATGATGGTATGGGGGTGGTCAAGCACCGGTATTACGAATCGAAGAAAATCCTGGGGAGGTTATATCGATCGGTGGATGAAAAGAAGATATGGGCAGAAGACGTGAAACGGCACGACAAGGCAGAAGGCGGGGATATCTGGGAGGGACTTCTTAGCATTCCAAAGACGTTTGTGTGGAAGAACAACCTCGACGTCGATTATAAACGGCAGACCGATAAGGCCTGGGAGATCCGCAACATGTATGAATCGTCGGTGAGCGATCTGATGTACCAGTTTTCGGAGAACCCCAGGAAGCCAATCAGTGAGGTCGAGGTGTTTTGCGGCTTCATCCTAGACAGACATGGGAAGCAGACGCGCCGCCAGAGGGACTTGTCGAGCAAGCTGCGCGAGGAGATAGACCGCACGATGTCGTGGATCGTGAAAATGATGCAGGACCCTGAAGGCGAAGAGGGGGAGGATAGCGTGACGAGGCAAAAGGATGTCCTCGAGCTGTGCTGGGCTTGCCTGGTGGTCGGATGCGCCGAGGACAATGAGGGAATGAAGAGCGAGTACACGGTTGGGGGGTTGAAAAGCTTCAAAATACTGGCCGGTGGTTGCATGTTCAAACAACTGGAACTGTTCTTGAGCATGATCCCTCAAGACGGGAAAGAGCCAGCTACGGGAGATTTGGTGGGTGTGAGGGGAGGAAGTGGAGGGAAGAAGGTGACCCTGCCACTTCGATGAAAATACCCAATTGTGCGATGTGTATTGTACAGGAACAGAACGATTCTTCGTCATTTACAAGTGGCCAGCATTTGTTTTTAGACACTTTTTCTTAGACCTTGCTTGAGAACCAAGCCAGGGGCAGCTCCCTAGAGACTCGTACAATGATGAGTATTGCTCCTGTATCGCCCGAATGACTTGCCACAAGTTCAAAGGTTGCCTTTAGGGGTCGGAACCTTTGAAGACAGCCTCCGTCCAACCCGTGAAGAACTTGTAGGCGGCTTCGATTGTATGGACAGAGTAACTCTCAAAGCTTAATGACAGCAATAGCGAGGTGGCTCTCTCATCAAGACGCCAAACCGGCTCTTGTGTTGTTGTTTTCGCTGCCATGGACACAGCCGAAGAATATTATAGGGGGAGGTGTCGGTTTATTATCCGTTCGGTTGCGCGTCGCTGGGTAGAAGGTCGTTGATGGGTATTTGAAAGGATGGCACCATGATTAAGAAGACACAGAAAACTAAACGGAACAGAATCAAATAAAGGAACAGTGTAAAGGAATTCTCGCTGGTTTGGTTTGGGCGTCAATCGTGGAGGGGAAAAGGGGGTTGGTCAGGGGCCGTCTGTCGTAGTGAAGAACTGGGCTCTGGGCTTCATGTTTCGATTTGAGACGAATCGAAACTTTCGATGCCTGATACTGATGCAAGAGGGATAGACGGTCAAGGAGTTTTGACAACTTGAGGCCTTGGGGGCAGGCAGAGTAGGTTCGCTTTCGTGGTCTTTGATGGAGTGGCCAAGTCATAACAAGATGGCCATGCAAGCGGCCGACCACTAGACGAAGGGGTAGGGCAACGGCGGGAGGTCGGACAGAGTATCCTGCAGTTTGCTGAAGAACCCTGGGCTTTCTTCCAGCGCTGAGGGCGGTGGTGATGGCGGCGGCGGTGTTTGCGTTTGTGTTTGTGCGTGGCCTGGCATGACTATTACGGATGGTATAATTTGGTCAAAGTAGATGTTTACGCAGCTACAAAATGGAAATGGCTACAGATAACGAGGATTGACCCTCTACGCTCAGTCCTCTTGGTCCAGGTTGGAAACCTCTGCCTGGTTGCTTTGGACCTCCCCTTCGCCCTGTCTCCTGTGTAGACGATTGAGCGAGTGGCCCTCATCCTAAGGCATCAAGGCGAGATAGGACAAGGGATTGAAAAGTTGCATTTGTCCGTAATGAGCTGGCTTCTGGTCCACCCTTGACCCTCTTGGACCTCCACCCGGATCACTGGCCCCCGCAGGATTTTCACTAGCGATTGGCCTGAGATGCATCGCGATCCACTTCTCCAGCTTTGCCAAAATTTGGCCTAGAAGAATGTCCATGGCGATGGATATGAGGAATTTCTTTTCTGTCAATCGTTCCTACTCAATTAAACGGCCAATGACTAGTGTAAGATTGTCACGATGAGGCGAAATTATTCAACTCCGCGGCGGTGGTTGGTGTTTGGTGTGGTGGTGGATTCAATCAAAGCTGCTGCAGGCGTCTCACCTGGTCCGTCCGCCACTCCGTCCGGGCACATGGAAGCCAAAGAATGACACAGTCGCACCTGATTCATTACGGGGAGCGGAGCAGACCCCCGTTCCTTTGCACGGCGATCTGGGCTGGCCCGCAGCTAAGATGGCTCGAGTTAACTGGAGTGGCCTAGTCAGATCTTCTTACCCCAAATTAACAATTCCAGCGCTGGCACTAAGCAGCGGCGTGATTCATTATGCGAAGGATGGAATGATTCCATTATTCGAATTGATTAGTCGTCGTGTGTGTTTGCTTTTTATTCCCGGCGCCTAACGCAGGTAAGCAGCCGGCTGGATAAATGATGGGACGACGAGGGTTCCTGCCGCTGCATCCGCAGATGGCCATGCATGACGGCCATCCATCAGTTAGCATCGGGGTCTCGCTTTGTTGGAAGAGCGCGCGTCTGGTCTTGGTTATCCGGAGATGGTGTATTGCGTGTGTCTGTCTGTCTCTCGGGTGCGGTGGTTGGTGCTTCCCCTCATCTGGGTTGAGCCTTCCCCAAGTCGTACCTTCCCACCTGCACCTGCTGGGTGTGGTACTTGGAAGGGCATGACTAATGCCAGCGGCGGCTTGCAATTGGCTGTTATTGGCTGTTACCTAATGTCGCAGCTTCTGTGCCCAGATGAATCAGTCGCCTGAGTCGAGGCTCGCCTCTGCGCCGGCGAATCCATGTCTCCATCATTCCTTGGAGTCAGTTCCGTTGGGGTGGTGTCTTCATCTCCCTCATCTCATCTCATCTGGTCTGCCATCTCGGATGGATGCAAGAATGGCCAGCAAGGGACTTGACAGGATCATCATCCAGCTCTGCATTGCGATGTCGCCAATCCACCATCCATCTAGACAGAGATCATCTAACTGAGTTCAGTAACTCTCCATTTCTCCTCCTCCGCCTTTAGCTACTCCTCCCTCATCCCGCATTGGGGCTGTCCCCCGCACGGAGGACATAGACGACACCACAGCAATGGCAGCAGGCAGGGTGAAAGCGCAATTTTAGAGTTTCAATTCTGCGGAGAGCGCCCGGGCGAAGGGAGCCGTCGAGAGTCTACAGCCACTGTGCCCCTGGGGGAAGCCATACCCCAGTCTCAATCCCAAGCCAAAGCTGGGGAAGAATCCAGCCTAGTCGCCATTCCCCCAATCCCCATCCTCGTCCCCATGTGCGGATGCGGCTGCGGTGCGGCTGCGGTGCGACGTGATGCAATGCTGGCTCGACTTGTCACTAGGTGGCTGCGTCTGGCTGGCCTCAACAAAACCTTTCCCCATACGGAGCACAGGACTTACACACAGTTCTGACACTCTCCCCGCTCGACGGTCTCCATCTCCAGTAGACTACTGTTGCCTACTCTCTGTGATTCGCTCAGCCCAGGACCGTCTAGAATCGGCTCGTGGGGCCCCTTGACTAGCACATTGGTCTGTACTGCTAGACGAAGACGGGACAGCGTAGCTCCGAAACGGGGCTTCACACTTAGACAAACTCTTCTCACCAGCGTTGCTTGGGCTCCGGATGGAATCAAGGTCTGGGGTGAGAGACCTGCCCAGCCAGGGCAAGGTCATGCCATGGAAGCGGGAGCGGATTGAGCGGCCCCATCCAACAGGCCCGACTAATAGCACCGCCTGTTGTTGGGCTTGAACTTGCTACTAGCTTCGTGTCTTCGCTGCTACTGCTCCTGTTGTTTGTTGCTACGCACCTCTCCGTCATATCGGTTCAAAGGAGCATACCTCCCTTAGGGCACCACAATTGGGCCAACCTGTTTCGTTTGTCGAGTAAGCTTCCCCGCGTATGAATCAGTGCTATCGTGTATAATAATAGACCAAGAGCCCCTTGCTCGTCTTCCACCAATCTTAGTCCCAGACCTGGCATGCATATTTATCTCTCCGACCACTAGTTTCTTCCAAGGTGGTTCTACCCCCTTTGCTCCATTAGTTATTTGAACCATACCACACCCCATCTGAATTTTCCTCCTCACTCCCTCCTTCACTCGTCTATCGATCTTCTCAACATAACACCAATGACTCACCCATCAACTCCCGAGAAAACAATGGAACAAGGCAACGGCAACCCCAATGGCATTGCCTACAACCATGAGGAGGACCGACAAGGGGACCTCGATCGCTTCCGTACCGCTGGAAGCGTCGCCATGAGCCCTGAACTCTTCGAGAAGCTCTATCTCACTCCTCTCAAGAATGTCCACGGAGATCTTCGAAAGACATTTGCCAACCCAACTCCTATGTGAGCATCAACCGACTGTGCAATCGTCCCAAACAACCATTACTAACCGGTCATCCTGATAAACAGTGCCCTCGTCGGATTCTTGATTGCTCTGACCCCATTGTCCTGTGACTTGATGGGCTGGGCTGGCGCTGGCGGCGGTGGTGCTGCTTCATCGTAAGCCATCCTCATTCTATCCCTATACAACCCTTCAAGCCATCAGATTCACTGACATTGTCATCTTGTAGTGGCTTCTTCGTGTTCATGGGTGGCCTTCTCATGTTCACGGGCGGTGTTCTTGAATGGGTTCTCGGAAACACCTTCGCTTCGGTTGTATTCTGCACCTTTGGCGGCTTCTACTTCTCCTATGGCGCGACTCTCCTCCCTTCTTTCAACACTTCCGCCGCGTACGCCCCAGCAGATGGTCCTGCCTCAGCTGGTGCAGCAACTCAAGGATTCAATGCCAGTCTCGCTTTCGTCTTCTTGTTCATGGGTGTCCTCTGCTTCCTATTCTTGATCTGCTCCCTCCGAACCAACGTCGTCTTCGTCGTCATCTTCCTCTCTCTTATGCTGGCCTTCTTCCTCTTGACCGGTGGATACATGGCACTGGCTTCCGACTTCACTGGCAACGCTGACAAAGCGGGTAAACTTATCATTGTAAGTTCAGCAATGGCATGGCGGAAATTCGTCTTGGGAGTCGATACTAATTTGGGAATCACAGGGTGGCGGAGCAAGTGCTTTCGTGTGTGCCATGACTGGTTGGTACCTGCTGACGGCTCAGATGCTGGACGTTGTTGACTTTCCCTTCGGCCTTCCTGTTGGCGACCTCTCCGGCATCGTCAAGGGCCGCTCCGAGCGTGCTGCCGCCAAGAACTAAGCATCGTGGCCTCTTATTACCGAACTAGCAAATCGTCTACTTCAGACTGTCTACATATAAATAATCACTTTGGAGGATTTGGTCGACTGGAATAAAATGGTTGGCGCAGGGGAAGTACAACGTGGTCAAGGAATACCCATTTGAGGGCCAACAGATATGTTTTAGTGTACTATAGCGGGGGTGAAGGCGTGTAGATTCTAGATGATGTTTACATACACACTTTCAACAAAATATACTTTGAGATGCCACTCGCATCGAATATGCGTTGAGCTCTCACTGAGTGATCGCCCATAAGTTCGTCGTAGTAGCATATCAAGTTCCTCGGCCCCTGGATATGGGATGGACACATCTCGTATCGAGACAACATTGTCCGGTGAGACAAACTAAATAAAATTTTTGGCTCAAGCCATGCTAGATGTTGAGGTGGCTTCGTCCCCTTAGTTCTGAACTAGTGGGTTTGGCGATGTCAGGAAAGGAGGTTTGTCTCCATCTCAAGCTACACTAGCAGTTGTTTTGCCTCTGGCAAAAGCCTCTCACTCGTTCTGATGATGTTTTTAACTTTTCATGTATCTAAATAATATTATTAAACCAACTTTATCGTTCCATCTGTTGATTGACGCGTCTTTGATGGGGCTGTTGGTGACTCAGGGGCTGCAACCACAACATTCCAGGTCAACACTTCCTTCTCAAGAAGGAAGTTGCTCGTAAATCCTTTGGGGGCAGTATGCTAATGTCCACAGCTAGGAGAATTTCCCTCTTTGGCTAGGAGTAAACTAATCGTGAGCTGTTGGATGCGCCCAGTTTGCCATGGCCAGTAAGCCCATCCTTCCTTGGGGGAACTAGCCGCCGCTGCGTCACCACGTTTTCTCAGCTCCAGTGAGCTTTTCCCAACTGGAATAATGAAATTACTAGTGAAATATCGTTTGCTTTCAGCAGGCTATTGATCCTTTGTATCAGATTCCAAAAGTTCTCCTAACTAAATGCATTGGATCTTGCGTCCAGGAGATACACAAAGATGCCTCACTGTGATGTTGAACACTAGACCGTTCAACATCCTCCCGTAGAACTACCCCCTTCACACGCCGGCCCCGTACAGTTGAATCCAATCGGATTCACGACATTGCCACACAGATACGCCCCCGCGTCGCTGCCGTTGCTGAACTTGACGTCGACGTCTAGCAGCGCGAGGTTGGTGCAGGGGGCGACGGCGCTGCACTGGAAACTGGCTACGCGACCTGTCCTGTCAGATGTGGTGCCTCTCAGCCCGTCGATGACCAGGTCGCGGATCTGGAACTCGGAGTTGGTGCAATTTCCACTCCCAGGGGCGCCGGAGAAGCGGGTGCACTGGGAGATGGTGACTGCGCCGCCGCGCAGCCCCTCCACCTGGAGGTTACTCGCGGCCATGTTGGCGGCGTCTATTAAAGGGGTTAGTTGTTAGGTATTATTTTCTTGTTATTTATTCTGGGGTGGTTTTGTTGAGAGACGTACACCCGCGTCCGCCACCTCCGCCGTTGGGAGGGTAGCCATTTCGATCTGCTGTCCATGTCTTGAAGTAATACTGTACTTTTGTTACCACGTTTTTATTCGAGTAAGAACATTAATTGAATGGGCACTTACTGCGTGGAGAGTGTTTTTGAAGTAAATGTTGTCCACGTGCACGTTCTCGATGACCTCAAACGCCCCGTAGTACTGCCCAATGCTGCCAATGGCGATGCCCAAGCCGTTGTAGAACTTGGAATTAGTGATTGTGATATTTTTGCTGTCTGCCTTCAGCGAGATGCTGTCGTCGCCGTTGTACACTGTCCAGTTGTCAAACCTGATCCCGGACGATCTGATCGTGTCGGCGCCGTCCGTGTTCGCTGCAGCTTGTTAGATAACCGCATCCAGGCCAAAAAAATCCAAAGACTCCAGGGCATTCTCACAGCTACTGTATACGTTTCCGGTGTTATTAACAAAGATATCCGCCAAATCAACATTATGAGAGTTGATGATGGACATTGTCCTGCCCAGGGATAATCAGCAAGTCAATTCAGCCATCTCCCCCAGATCTCGCCACATACCACATCTGGCTCCTCAAGAATCTAAGCCCTTTGACAACTGAATTGGTCAACCCGTTGAACGTGATGGCGTGTGGGCGTCCAGGGTAGTTTGAGGTATTGGGCTGCTGCCGGATGAAACTGTACCAAACGTCGCCATTGCCGTTGAAAGTGCCGGTCCCAAACCCATTGATGCGTATATTGTTTCCGCCTAGAACCCAAGCGGTTGACTGATTTTGGTAGCCCACGGGCAGGGAGTTGTTCAGCCAGTAATTGATATCTGTACCCCACTGAAGTCATCGCCAGTCAATTTACGCACATCACCAAAACTGAGAGTCGTCAGTTCAAATGTAACATACCAAAAGTTCACCGCGGATATCTATGCTGACGTCCTCGAGTCCCGTGGTATTTAGAACAGTGTTGATGTGATATTCGGAGTCCTCAAAAACAATCTTCCCATGCTTGCCGCATTTCTTAAACGCGTCGCGGACGGCTGGGGCATCATCTTCGTCGACGCTGCCGAGAGACTTGACAGTACACCTTTTCCTATAACTGGGATCGTTTGAAAGCGCTAAAGCGTCATCTTCTGTATGGCCTGTTGAGGCAAGAGCCAAAACTGGAAATAAAGAAAGGACGAGATGTGTGAAAATCATTTTCCCCGTCGTCCACGAAGTGCGAATTTGGCTGGTCTCTCGAAAGGGGCAGAGTTCCTGAAGTCGGCTACATGCTGCGAATCATATTTTGAGAAACTCTTTTTATTTATCATTTCAAGCATTACCTTTTGTCGGTATAGCTGCTCGCGAATCAAGTTGAAGATACAATGCCATGGTTCAACGATGCTACCAAATTGATGAGCTCTTGGGCCATCGGGCTAATGAAAAGCCGAATAGTTTCCCAGCATAATAAGCCAGAACTCGGCGCCGGTTAAAATACAGATCGTCAATGTAGTGGTGGACAATTCAGGCCACATCCATAGCCGGGCTGTTTCGAGCGGGGTACATGGATCTGCTCGGAAAAATCGCATCGAAATTGAAAATGACGACCTGGCTAGTGCCACCGGCAATCCATGGTTGAGATACCAGAAGAGAAGAGTGGTGTCTGGAAGTATAACCGCTTTGCTCAGCTTCTTGTTGCGCAATAAGTGTATATGAGCACTCCTGAAGAAGGGGCTGAATACGGTGGGTACGGAATAGTCTAGACACAGGTCAGGTGATAGACCATGATGCCACTTTTGCGACTCCAAGTTTGCCCACCGATTTCTCTCTGATGAAGGTATATCGAGATACATGTAATCCAATATCCAGTCAATATCAATCATCAAATCATGTCTCAGTCATATCCAACACGGACCCTTGCCCGACTGATCGGACCGTCCCTCGTAGTGATGGCACTAGCCGAGGGAATGCACGTTGATATATGGTCCAACAATACACCTCCGGTCGTGTTTTTCAACGGAAACGTCCTATTTGTTGCGGGCTTGGCCATCGTTCAGGCACACAACTACTGGGCTCTCCGGCCCCCAGTCCTGGTCACCCTGATTGGATGGAGCTCGTTAAGCCTTGGCCTTTCACGCATGTTCTTCCCACACCAGAAGCCCTATATTCATTCGAACAGCCCATGGCAGACCGTCTTCCGAATTGGGGCACTATGTTTGGTTGGCTCCTCTGTCGCTGCCATTGGGTACATGCAGTAGAGGGTAACCAGACTATTATTCGGAGCAACTGGGCAGATTATCCAAACCTACTCCTTTCGGGAGAGGGAGGTCAGAAAGCCAGCGAGGTCTCAAAGAAGGCCCTGGTCCCCCGCCCCCTCCCCGTCAAGTGCGCGATGACGAAGTAGTTTCCCTTAGATCTTTAATTGAGGCGGCGGGCGGTGCTGTTTAGAGTCTGAGACATCCCTGTTCCATGATGAGCTTCTTCACATTCCGAAAGTTCTCAGTCATTCATTCCCCGACACAAACAGTATCTGTGCCCCGCGAGCCACTGCCCTTCTCTCTTCTCTTCTTTCTTCCCAATTCTAGACATATCGTAGAAATATAGGCGAGAGTGAGCCGCCATCGATGTGCTCTTGTAGAATCGGAACTCCTGTTTCCAACCACTTGGAACCAGTCGCCCTTTTTTGAGGTGAGACAATTTTTGGGCATCTTTCGGCCTTTAGTTTACGAATCCTACATAAAGAACCAGTTAGGTCATAGATTCTAATAGCACTTGGCTATCATGAGCTTCATCGCCAAGTCGAAGAATGAGGGGTCAAGGAACTGAGCCGCTCGTGGCCGCGTATCATAAACTCACTTGGATGTACTCATCTATGTGTGTACACGCCCTTATCATACCTTGGCAAGACATAAGGAGGGATGAGAGCTCTGATTTCATTATATCGTGTGGCTATTAACGCCGGTCGCATAGAAAGTCGATGACAGTAATAGGAACAAAAAAGGGGATATGGAATGAACTTGATGTAATTCCTACTAAGGCATGATCAGCATCATTGTCTCAGTAGAGCTGCTCTTACCAGGAAATATATATGTGTAACTGAACCAAGGAAATTAGCATAGGACCACAATGGGAAAATCTCAAGTCTCCCATCAACAGCATATCCCTTACCGCAATACATCTTTCCCAAGAATCGGTTCTAGATTTCCACCCTCCAAAGAGGTAGGTATCTCGAACCATGTCAAGAAGCAGCAGCGAGGAGACTCAAGGGCCCGGCCTTGATGAACTGGTTTCGTCCGGTTACGGAATAGATGCCACCACCAAATTGACCCCCGAGGAGAATGTCATTGCAATGCAAGTTCGGAAAAAGGTCGATTACCGTATCTTGCCCATAACCCTCGTCGTATACCTGTTGGATTTTGTCGATCGTAGCAACTATTCGACAGCAAGGTTGCAAGGCCTTGAAGCTGACCTAGGCCTCACAGAATCCGAATATCAGGCAGGTGGGTCACTATCTCACCTCGCACTTAGGGGGCTCTGCCATTGACCAAGTTTATAGGACTTTCGTTGTTTTTTGTAGGATATCTGCTGGGCCAGGTCCCTGCAAATCTTCTTCTCAATCAATTCGCTCGCCCTTCGTATCATCTTGCATTTTTCACATGCATTTGGGGTATTATCTCGACGTGTACGGGCTTGTCTCAGGGGTTTCGAACTCTGGCTATGTGTCGATTTCTTCTAGGTTTCGCTGGTAAGTGTTAGCTCCTAGAATGCCACGTCTTGAGGTATGTCCACTTACAACTGAACATGGAAAGAGGCACCATTCTTCCCGGGAGTCGTCTTTTGTCTCTCCAAGTGGTACACGAAACAAGAACTGGCTTTTAGAGTAGCCATATTTTCATCGGGGAATCTCATTTCTGGTGCCTTCGCCTCGCTCATCGCCGCTGGTATCTTAGAGGGGATTGGCCATGCTCGAGGGCTCGCTCCCTGGCAGTGGCTCTACCTTGTGACAGGGCCAGTGACAATACTCGTAGGGCTCTTCGTATGGATTATCTTGCCTGATTTCCCCGAGAACTGGAAAGGGTTATCTCCCGAAGAACGCAGGGTGGCCATCCTCCGAGTGGCTATCGATGGATCCCAGGCAGACATCGACGAACCAGGCATGACACAGTTCAAGGGCCTCCTAATGGCCCTCACTGACGTGAATACATATGTTCTCGGTCTTGCGTACATGTGTATAATCGGCAGTGTCGGCTTTGGGCTGTTTCTTCCGTCGCTCACGGCATCGTTGGGATACAGCCACACAGTCTCGCTGCTCCTATGCACTCCTCCATACATCTTTATGACAATATGGCTGATTGTTCATTCTTGGCTGTCGGATAAATGGAACAGTCGATTTTGGTTTTACATGTATCCGCTCCCGATATCGATAGTCGGCTTCGTCGTCTTCATGGCGGTGGATCCGGCTATGTTTACTGCTCGGTATGTCAGCTTATTTCTCATGCCCTTCGTCTCAGCTAGTGCCGTCAGTGCATTTTCATGGGTCTCTTCGTCAATCTCTCGGCCTCCAGCAAAGCGAGCGGCTGCATTTGCCATCATCAACTGTTTTGCCACCAGTGCCAGCATCTGGGTTCCCTTTGTCTACATCGCCCCCCGGTACACAATGGCCATGATCATCAACATAGTTCTCTGCGTTTGTGCCGGGATACTCGGCGTTGTCCATTTGTATGTTCTTGTGTGGCGCAACAGAAAGCTTGCTCGGATCGAGGAGGGCTCGGCCAGCATTCCAGCTAGCCCGGGGCGAGATGATGTTCGAATGGAGGGGTCTGATGCCAAGGACGTAGAGAAAGTATCAAGATTAGGTCTCAATCGAGGGTTCCGGTATATGCTTTAGAGTCGTTCTTGGAGTGTTTGTCTCGAAGAGGGATGTGCCAGGCAGATCCCAGGCTTTCGGATGAGTCGTCGACGTCGGTAGTACGAGGATATTATGTCAGCTAAACGAATATTGCATCAGATAACTCACCCGTGATATGTTTTCCCTTGATACATGGAGATGGCTCTTCACCTTTGGGTGAATTTTCCCGATTGTTGGGAAGGATTTGGTGCATGGGTGTTGGTAGCTGCTGAAGTTGGCAGCAGACAGAATCGGGGGAAGGAAGCATGAGAAGGCAGAAACTCCCATTCACTCCCACCCTCACCCACTTTCCGCCATTCTGTTCCCTCTTTGCCAATGTTCGACTTCTTGTCTAATTTTTCTTCGCAAGATATTTATAAAGCATTATTTTGATGCATCGTTACCGGATGGGATTTGGAACCGACCAAAGGCCTGGGTGAATACTTGTGTCTACGAAATCTCGTTCACGCACTAAATCATCACCCGTTGCGTTCACATTTCCCTTAAAAAGAGCTACAGGTATAATCAATCCTTGGAATTTAATTTTGATGGTGAGAGAATGCTAGAAAACCTGTCGCCAACTACGAAGCAGATGTCTAGAATCCTCACCACCACGCACCTCCACGGAACAGCTTCTACTACCAGTAGTATTCACAGTTTGCAGCCGTACCATCAATTCTACAATCTATCGTACCACCTAAGCATCTTTAAAGGGCACGCTGTCTATCTTCAGGCCTAAGCCGGTTCTACGAATAGTGCACGCACCAAAGGGTCGATGAGCAAGAATGGAGCTGTCAAGCCAGCACATCCCAGCCACTTAATTGTTTGAACTCAATGAACTATATGCTGCCTGCTGAATGAAACTATGCCGTATTCCTGAAGATAGTTATTTGACAAATTCTAGAGTGTGGTAGATCTCTAATTGGCAAAGCAAGGGAAACGATGCACAGAGGGCAACCAGGTGAAAAACTGACACAGAAACTTGCTCTTTACCTCAGCCAGTCTTCATCTCGTAAGAGCCCAGCTTCACTAGTTATCCCTACGGAAGTAGCTGGAGAGCCTACGAGCACATGGGGGCTCTTCGCTCAATGCGTAGCAGATACAGTCAAACAGAGTAGACAAAGTGTTGCATCGTCTGGACAAATGTAGATGTGCTACATATCAAGAGCAAAGAAGTAGTGATCATATGTGCTAATATCCATTATTCTATTCCGGTGAGTCCTGTAAATAGTTACTTAGGTAGTTATTCTGGTGCTCGTAGGTACGAGGAAGCCTATGAGGCTTATTGTCTACCGTTTGTTGACCGCACGAACTGCCACGCTCCAAGTCGTCAACAGTTGTCCGCCACTTCTGCCCGCCCCTTTTCTCCCCTCCAGACTTTCCCTCTTCTCTCTTCTCTGACCCAGAGGCACTTGTGAAACACAGACCAATCATCTACCCATGGCCAAGAACTATTCAATCAAATTCGATGATGTTCCGCATATTCTAACCAAGAACAACAGCCCGTTACTTCCACGTAATTCAAGGCGTCAGTGCTGCCCAACACGCCTCGAGCGCAGCCGCTGGTTATATGGGGCCATATGGTGCCCATTGGCAGCGACCTCGTGGATGTTTGATGTTGGCAAACTGATGTTGGCCATTTGCCATGCGGTGTTCGCCGCATGTCTCTCAGTTTCTGCTTGTAGTAGAACAACAAACAGTTCGCGGATGATGGTCTCATGGTGGGGGTTCCTAGAGCACCAGACTTGCGTTAGTCCCAGGATTTAATGATTCAAAGATAAACAAAATTCTGCGTCTGTATTACTTACATTGGTGCGGTTGGTGATTGATGCTCAATATGATGATATTGGTGATAATGATCAATAAAAAGTAAACAAATAAAAACCCAAATGTAAGTCGCGTCGACGTCTGAACTCCTCGACCTCATCGAACATTGCCGCCAGTTGCTCCATTGTCGATTCGAGAATAGTCATCAAGGGTAGCAGCAAGATCTTTGATAGGGTGGTTGGAAAACGCATCCTCTTTCTTGTACTTGACTGTCTTCATTGTCTCGACTTCATACAGGTCTTCCTGACCGAGGCCTTTGATCATTTCGCCCATCTCCCGAAGCTCATTGGTCGTGGCTGTGAAGTGCAGTTTCGATTTGTTTGCTGGTTACATGACCCGGGCTTCGTGTTTCTTCAACAAACAGATTCGTTGCTTGTTGGTGCTCTAGTTGGCCATCATGTTGTCGCAGGTGGCCAACAGTTCGGCGTGCTTTGTCTTGACCGCCGCTCGGGTGTAAGTCTGTTTGACTGGAATATCCACATATTCAGGTGGACGGATGACTCCATCGTAACTCGAGCGTCCCAGCAGCCAGACAGGTAGTGAACGATTCGGAGGTAAGCTCCAGCTAGAGTCCAATTCTCATCAGCCTGGACAGCGGCATTAAAATGCTACTGGCCGACGAGCAATATCCCTACTTCTGATGGAACTACAGCTCCCTCTCGCTATCTGTCCAAGGTGAAGAGCATTTTCAAAATCAATGGCTGACGACGTTAATTCCATCCCTTCTGACTTTGTTTCGACTGAGAACAAGTCATGTGTGGGAATTGCTGCCATTTTTCTCGACGGCAGTGTGGCACTCAGCAAGATCGTCAAGAGCGGAAGGGGGAATCGCCCTGAAAGGTGGCATGGCTAAACTACAAACCGCTCTCAATAACCTCCTCCCTGCCCTTATCGCCAATGAGGTAGAGGTCAACGATTCATTCTGAGGGCTTTCTTTCTTAATCACCCGAGTCTTTCCCACTTGCTCAAAAATTGGACCCTGTAATCCTTCACCAATCTGGCGGGGTGACGCTTCCTGGTGTCTGATTGCAAACGAAGAATGTGTTAAAACCACGACCCAAGTACTCAAAGTTTGGTGCATGATGGCCCCCTCCTTGTTGGGGTTCTTGGTGTAGAACAAACCATTGCATTCCCGCCCGTTGTATTCAACCACCACGGTCGGTGCTTTTTCGAACAGGTGGTAAGTTTTGCGTAACACCCTGAGTTTATCACCGGTTCCTCCTCGTGCCTTTCTGATATACTTTGCTGCGGCGAGAACTGTGATCATCGTGAAGGAGACTGTTACATCTCTCTTGTGCTGCATAGTTGCGCCTTCTATGTTCTTCACCTTCTCGAGAACATCCCTTGTCGCTCTAAATTTAGTTTACGTGGCGTGGTAGAGAAGATTTATTATCTTGGCCTTGCTAGTGGCTTCCTTGGTTCTTTGATTTCATCAAGTAAACCCGGAGTCCCACGAATATCCATCGAAGAAGAAATAGTCCCATATCGGAGAAATCTGTTGTACACCTCTCGCTCTTCTTCATAGTTTTCCCACCAGGAATATTAAGCCTTGAGGGTGGGTGATCCCATGGCAGACCCGTCAAGTACGAAAACAACCCTTTTCTTCATATCCGATCACCAAATATTCCAAACCAGAGGGATAGACACCACCACACACTCTCCATCGACCGTGGTAGACAAGTCTCATGATGGTGAAGCTGTGATGTCCAACTTCCACAAAACAGCCACCAAAAAGGAATTGGAAATTGAGGCGTCAATTTCCTTCCACAAAACAGACATCCTCACGTCCGTAAGGAAGTCGCTGTCTGGGAAGCGCCGCCGCCGGGGCTTGTGTGATAGGGGCACGTTGCAGACCCTGCTTTAAGACAGCAAGCGTAGAGAAGCTTGCCGTCGCATATGACCTTTCGCTGTCGGCACCAGACGCAAAGATATCGAACCTCGCCGGCAATTACGAGCAGAAACTCATGATCCCCCGAAGCTTCTCTCGATTCCTTCGCTGTGCAATCACGTCATTGACTCACAATTTCATCTCCCACGCCCCAATCACCAACCCAACAGGCACGCCCCAATGGCCCATCTGAAAAGAAAAAGGTCTCAGCCTTCTCTTTCATCACCACACACCGTCATCACCTTCTTTTTCCAAGACACGGATCAACCACACCCCCCTCCCGGCGAACCCAGACAAGCTCATCTGTTCGCCAGAAAAAAAAAGCCGGTAGGCATCTCACTAATCGAGCAGTTCATCGGTCCCTCATCCCCACACAAGTGAACCCTCAAATCGGCCCGCGTCCTGTCTCGCATCGGCCATATTGGAATTCACCAGGCCCCCAACCAGACACAGAGGCACAGAGGGGCGCTGATTTTGATCGCCGACTTGAGACACGCCAATAACTCTATTCAGAGCGAGTTGCTCCAGCTGGCTCTGTGTAATTGGTCACGATTCTCTGGAGGTAGGATAGCTTGAGCTGGCTACTCTGCTACCATCCTGGTTGAGCGATATTGCCATGCTGGTCGAGCGATACTCACATCCATAGGGAATCAGTCTAACAAGAGAACACAAGTTCCACATGAATTTGATGCAAACTGCCGTAACAGGCAGCAGGCTAGAAAGAGCCGAGAGACTCGGGGCCACGGACGTGCCGATCTGTATGCTGTTTCTTCTCCGCATGAAGCAGGTCTCACAGCACACATCAGACATTTGACCGTTGGCACAGACAGACATCAAGGCCGCAGATGGCATTTCATGATGCGAATTTCCATCTTTTCCGCTGGAGTGTTGTCTCCGAAAGTCTCATGGCATTGGCAAGTTGTACTTGTTTTAGACCCTCTGAAATAGAAGTGATGTGCGGTCGCGTTTGGAAGCTGTGAAGCGATCATCCCCAATGGAACATAGGGGGCTGGCACCGAGTCTTCACCGATTTGGCCTCGGTAGGTCTCTTTTCAATAGTAGCAGCGCACGGAGAGCATGAGCAGTGATTTCTGCATCAACACGGTGAAGAAATCGCAGGTCTGACCTGCCGTCAGTCTCGAAGAAGAAGTGACCTGTTGACCAGCGTGTTACAGCTGAGGATAATAGGGACCAGTGTCAGAACCACTATCCAAATCGCAAACAACACGATAAAGCGTTTAGAGAAGACACGTCTCGCCACATGAGGTAATCCGGGCAGTCTCGGTATGGATAGTCCAAAGGCTTCTAATGCAGGACGGTGGTGGGATGAATTGCATTGCCGGAGCTATGCCATGCTTCCCAACAACATTTTCACATCCTCAACCTCACGGCCTGTCCCACTTGCAACCTTGGTAATTAAACACCGGCATCGTGAAAAAATGCAGCCTGCTCAATCAACGCCAGTACTGAGACGGCCGCGTCTGGGCCGCAGGACCTTCCGTCGAAACCTGAAGCTTCCCGGTCCAGAAGAAATGCGGCTCCCCCAACGGCACGACTGACCCAGCGGGCGTGTCTTGCTTCAACTCCATGTACCTCGCTCTGCCCGCGAGGCGGTACCTCTTCAGCTCGTCCAGGATGTCCCTCATCCCTGAGAGGGACTCCATGGGCGGCGAGACGAGCTGCTTTGGCATGGTGGCGACGCACCAGGTAACGTGGAAGACGTATGCATCCGCCGGCACGCCGACTGCGACCTGCGCGGGCGTCGCGGGCCCAAAGCCTTCCGTGAGGTGCCGGTCTACCACCAGCCTTCGATATTCACGGATGACCTGGTTGGTGCTTGGAACCTCGCCAATCCACACCGGGATCGAAAAGTGTTTCCCATTCCACTCGCCGCGGTGGATGATGTACTCCTGGTCATCTCGGACCGATTTCTGGGGGCCTCCGGTACCTGTGCTGGAATTCACGGTGTCTTGCGACTCAGACCTCTCTCGCGCCTCCACAAATGCAGTGACAGGAGATGGAGACTTTGGCTGGCTCCGCTCATCATCATGCCCAAAGAAACTGAAGCCTCTCTCCCCGCTATTCATCAAATTCGCGGCATCGAGGTCATCCAGGCTGGAAAACCCATCCTCCATCGGGTCAGGTTCGAACTCAAGCCTGAGATGTCTCAAACCCTTTAGGACGGTGGGCCCACGCCAGGACCTCACCTGTGCCGCGCCTACATCTTGAACATCGCGCTCCTGAACGGACAAGAGCTTCAAGAAAGTGACCAGTCGATCCACAAGAGGACCCGAGGAACGCCGCGGGAGACCGGTCAAGGTCAGTGATGCGAGACGTGGGTTCATGTCGGGGATGAAGGCCTGCCCGTATGCCAATTCCAGTCGGGGCAGAATCTCATTCTCGGCAAGATAGATGGATGAAAGCGATGAGAGTCCTTCAGATTTCACTGTCGGTATGTGTGTAACAAGCGAGTGATGGATCCTCAGCGTACGGAGGTTGGATGAGAATACTGGACGGAACACATGTGCCACACCAACGACACCATACAAGGTGGTGGATTTTGGCCAGAATCTTAAACCTTGAGACGACGGCGATAGCATGAAGATGGAATCGCAAGTTAGATCCTCCAACTGGCCGTTGGACATTTGAATCAACTTGGTAAGACCAAAGCACGACAACTGGTTGCTTGACACGTCCAGGTGAGTCAACCCGCGCGAGAGACGGAACCTATCTGCAGCCAGCTGTTCCCCTGAGAGTGTCGCACTTGCGGCTTCAGGAGAGCTCCGTCGGCCCAAGGTGCGCCCGTCAGAGCGAAACACTTCATCCTCCTGCTGAACCCGATCAGGACGTGCATGATACGTAGGTGCATCGACCAAGTACCGCTCTGGGTGGCTAAAAGTCTTGCTCCACAAAGACTCCTGAACAAAGACAGATGTGCCAAGGTGGTATGACCCGTGCTCACCTTCAACCAGTTTCCCCTCGACGTAAAAATGTTGGGAGGAGCGTAATTCGGCCATGGGGAAACAATTGGTGGTTATGGTATCCACCACATCATCTGATATTTTATTGTAGCCGATATCCAGGCTCCAGAGGCGCAATCTGAACAGAGCAGTCAATGATTTTAGAGTCGTATTGTCAAGCTCTCGATTGCGAATCTTAAGAATACGCAAGTCAGGCAGGATAGCGGGCTGGATGAGCGGATAGATGGACCCCGGTACATGAGATACATCTAGATAGACTAAGCTCTGGAGAGCTGGAAGATTAAAGAATGTGTTGGGAAGCTGAAAGGGGGAGCCAGAGATACTAAGCAGTTGCAACGGTTTGGTGTCAGAGCCAATTAGGGTGCTGGGAGCAACGTCCTTGTGGCCATCAAGCAGCAGACAGTTGACGTTGGGCAAAAGAGCCAACGCCTGTTTCAAGCTCTGCTGAAAGGTACTGTCCAGCGCAAAGTCATACGCATCCTTGGCAAAGTCACGGGTGTCCAGCACGCGGACGAGTTGCCTAGTTCCTGGCCTGACGCTACTGAGCCGATTGAATACAAAGTCTAACCACCAAGAAACGTCTTTGGGGTAAGGGGCGTTAGCATTTCCAAGTCGATGACTGCCGTTTTTAGGGCGGGCGGGTGCTCCGAAACCTAACTTACGATCAGAGGGGTCAAGCCCGGTCTGTCTGACGGCCGTCAATAGATCCGCCCAGAGGAGGGGAGCCAAGGCCTTCCAGAATCGACGGCTCACAAGACAAAGAGAGGATAGTTCGGAGAACTGAATATACGGCGCTACAAAAGCAAGCCAGTCCAATCTGGTGGTAGCTTCGTGGTACGAGGGAAGAGCATCCATGGCGAGCTGGCGCTAGAGAGGAATCGGTGGCAGCTGCAGATACAAAACCAAACGATGAATGTAGTTCTCTAGGATTTAGCGTTGCTACGCAAACAGGTATTTGGATCGATCACATGCAATGCTGCGGTCAGCCTGCTCTGCGTGCTGATCCGATCAGATGGAGGGGGGGTGTCGACCGCCGTGATGGTCTCCTCCGAAGCCGTACGACGGCGGTCGATATGCACCAACAAATGGCAGCTCGTCTGTGATCAACCTCGATCTCTAGGCGGGGTACAAGATGATCGAGATATAGGCTCGAAACGAAGAGGGGAGGTTGGTCCAGAAAGCCTCTCTGATGGGCGGAGGCGGCCGACCCCAGCGGCCCGGCCTAAGTGAAGCCAAAGAAGCAAAAACCTGGCACAGCACAGTAGTGTGTTCAACTGGAGAAGAAGGCAGCCGTATCCAACTAGTTGCCCGTCTGGCGGTCCAAGAGCTGCACCTTTTGGTAACAGAGATCTGGGTCGTCCCGTCCGAAGGAAGCAACTCGTCGTCGCACAACCTAGCGGCGGGGCCTGGGGCCGAGGTGGGATGTGGAGCGGAGAGGAGAGATGAGAAAACAACAGTAGGTCGCACAAGGTAAAGAGGAATACGCAATATGCAGAGATGGGATGAAAAGCGTACCTACCTAGGTAAGGTAGTAGACCGACGCTTCGGTGGGCCGGATGCATCTGGGAGGCGGCGGAGGACCAAGCAGCAGTCGCAGCCAGCCCCTCCTCCCACTAAGCCCACCTCACCGAAGTCCGGGCGGGGCCTCGCTGATACGCCGTCGCCCGGCAGCTAGCCAGGACATATGTAGCCTAAATGCGCCTAACACCACATCATCGGTGTACCTGTAGGTAAGCCTCCCAGCGCCTGCTCTAGTGGGTTTCCCACCAGGACCAGGGAGGTAGGTAGCGCTGGGGCCAGGCTGCCGGCCCGTGGGCACCTTGCAAGGGTCTCTTCAGAACCCCCAAAATTGTCCGCCGCCAGTGCTGCAAGATGATGCATGCACTACTCCTCTGGCGGCAGATTTAGCGACAGCATCGGCAATCCTCCGCCTCTCTGCTACTGTACACTCCCATCTTGGTGCTGAGCAGGTACTTGACCCTTGCCATTCACAGCCTTACCCGCCACCTGTCGTCCGATGTATCGAGACTTGCCTAGTCACACCTCCAGCCGCGGCTGCAAGGCCCTAGACTCCCCAGCTGGCGAACAATACGTGACATTCGCGCTCATGCCTCGTAACTAGCCATCAGCTTGGGAACAGACCGCCTGCCTGCCCGCCCACTGATAGCCTAGCTCGCTCCACCAAACTCCAGTTGACGTGTCTGGGGCCGAGAACCTAACGTAGCGTAGACCAAAATCAAGGCCTCTCCGCCACTCATCCAAGACACTTCTGTGCGTATTGTGAGCGAGGCCCTGGATACATACGCAACTCGACCAAAGAGTCGAACGATTGTGGCGCCCCCCCCTGAGAATTCGTGTGCCTACTATCAGGTGGACCAGGATTCTTCTGCTCGACGCACATATGCAGGTGAGCGTGTGTGCACCAATCACTACCCGCGCTCAATGGAAGATGGATAGAAGACCCGAGCGAAGGCACGGAGAAAAAAGAAACGTGAAGGCGGGCAGATCACACCCGGAGCCCCCGCGGGCCACTCAAAGCTCCTCATCATCTTTCAGTTTATGCAGACTCATGACTAATGACCGCCAGCTCACAGGTCCCCTGTTTGCCCGTGTTGCCTCCTGTGCCTGGATTGATATCTCAGACACTCGTTGTTAGCACATTCAGCCAAATTCTTGATTTTCTTCGTTAGCCCCTCCCCTTCCTACGCGTAGTGCCGGCAGACAAACCAATTAGTTACTCTCCCCCATAGTATACATACGCTACGTGAACAAGAAGAAACAATGGGGCGATGTTGCAAAATGGGAGGAGATTCTCCTAGTCCACAATCCTCTTTGTACTGATGCTGTGTTGGGAACATGTGAATCTCATTTACCACAGCGCCGCAAATCCAACACAGTCTGTCTCTCCGCCCCAGGTGTCTCGGTACTTGCCAAGAACTCAGATTTGCCCGAGTCAATCACGTAAAACAAGAAATGTTTCAACATTACATTAAATCGATCGATTTTTTCTTCATTGTACAGTACGAAACTGGTATGCAGACCTCCCCCCAAACCCGTGCTTCCACGGTCCACACACACACACACACGCAACCTCCCATCCATCCTAACTAGATGTGTTCCTTCCACTAGTTTCCCAAAGGTATCTCCTCCATAAGATTCTGTTGCCTCAAGCTACTCCCTTTTCTCCTAAAAAAGCCATAGAGATATAGAGATAGAGTGATAAATAACAATGACGATGATGATAGTAATGATCAGAAAAAAAGGAAAGATAAAAGAGAGTGAAGGAAGTGACGAGGTAAATGTTGGACGGTAAAAGTAGTGCGATATTAAGAAAATCATATACTCCAGAAATGTATGTTTGTTTTCCTTCCCCACTGGTACTTTTCAAAAGAAGGAAAAGAAAAGGGGCAAAAAAGTGACTTCGCAGACGATCAGAAAAGAAGTGACGTTCTTTCCTTTCTTTTTCCAACGAAAAGGGTGCATCCAGCAATGAGGGCCAGCCACTTGGGGAGATCGAGGTAATGATGCCATGTCCGGGGCTCCAGCGAAACCGCAAATAATGTATGAAATAATTAATGTTACTGGCGGTGTGGCATGACTGTTGCAGCTTCTTAGAACTCGAAGCTCCGCTTTTCCGTCAACTTGGACTTGGGGGGCGCCCTGCGCTTGCGGTTCCGCTCCTCGTGCTCGATGATGGGTACGGCTGCTGGAATGAACTCGACTCCCCTATTGCGGCTGTTGGGCCGCGCGTGGAGCTTGCGGTGGTTGTTGAGATTGTCCTGGCGGTTGAACTGGTCCTTGCCACAGAACTCGCATGAGAACCGGTTGGGTCCCTCACCATGGAAACTAATCAACTTTTTGTTAGCTGATGCCACCTCCTATTGTAGTTGTTTTTCAATTTATTTTACTCACGTTTGCTTGTGACGCTTGAGATGCTCATTGCGTCGGAATGCCTTGTGGCACCCTGGGTAGTCACACTTGCACATGGCTCGTCGAACGACGTCCACAGCTGTCTCTGACTTCTCTCTCTGTTTCCGAGAGGCTCTAATCTGGGCACGTTGCAGCTCGTTGGTACGTCTCTGAGCTTCGTGGTGTATCAGTCTTCGCTGGAAGCGCAGTCGGTTTGGTGATTCGGCATTGTGGACGTGGTAATTATTAATTGGTGACTGAGAATGACGCTCGAGGTCAAGGGCTTCCATGTCTTGAAATGCGACATCCTTGTGAGGGAAAAGGCTGATGGGGCTTTCATTGTTCATTGACCATGAAGAGGATGTATCGGCGATCTCAGATCCAGACATGCTATGAGTGGGTGTCATCATATAGGCTGCAGGCCCCATGCCAGCCTCTGGGGAGAGGCCGTGGAGGCCAAAAGAGTTAGACGGAGTGATTGTTCCCATAGAAGCCTGAGAAGCCAAACCAATGTCGAAAATCTGATCATAGGAGGTGCCGAAGGAGTCCATCTTCTTCATAGGCGTGGTTGGCAGGGACTCATGAAAAGACATTGGCTCAGGCTCCGTCTTCACGTGTGCTCCTCCAAACATGAACTTGGACATGGCGGAGGGGGGCGTCATTTCGACGGATTGAGGAGGCGCGTATGGATATGAACCCTCAAAGTCAAGGCCAACTTCATTTGGTGTTGAACGTCGCGAGGTAGGAGTAAACGGGTCGTACGCAGATGAAGAAGCAGAAGAGAAGCTGTTTGTGGTCGACGGGCATGGCAGTGGCTGCATGCTGAAGCCGTCGTCCATGTCAAACCTGAAGTCGGATTCAAATTGCATCTTGAAGACTGTAGGTGGCCTTGAGTGACTGATGCACTTCTTCGTCGCAACCTTCTGAGATGGAGGAAAGTTGAACTCAGATCCGGGTGCACGAAAGTCTTGTCCTTGGTGGAGGGCTCGGGCAACTGACTCTGGTTGGGGATGCCTCGAGTAGAAGAGGGCGGCGCTTGAAGATATATCGGAGTTATGTAGAGAAAAGGTACGCGGATGAAAGGTGCCGGCGTGTCTGAGACAACCAAGATGCAGATCAACCACCCCAGCAGATGATGGAAGAAAAGGCAGTGCGTGATGAACAGGCCGAGAGACAATGAGCGCCTGCCCCAGGTCAAGTTTGGAATGAGTAAATATGGGCTTTCATTAGTAGGAGGTGTCGATTGTCTAGGTCCTGGATGGGGAGAGGGAAGCAGGTCCAGAGGAGAGACACCCTTTGTGGGACTATTGCTGATATAGATTGTTGTTTTAGATAGCTGGCTCGTGTTTCGCTACTCCTCGAAATAAGGCAGCATCTGCTCATAAACAGAGCCGAAGGGGGTGGGCAATGATGATCTGTGTGGTAGTTATAGGGAAACATGATGAATCACACCAACCAGCAATGGCAATGGCTCACACCATTTCCAAAAAGGACCACATGCACCTGAAATCGAGCTAGAGCAAGCCAAGGCGTTCAAAAAAGAACACAAAGAGTAGGGCGTTTTGGCATTCTTGTCCATCATCAGGCCTAGTGGATGAAGCCCGGGGTGATGACGGGAAGCAGAAAGAGTACGAGTAGCAAAACCCCCACTTGGGAACGAGGACTGAGCGGCAGGCATGGGTGGCGGCCAGACCAACACTGTTCAAGCCATAAAAAGAAGCTCAGGATCACGTCCCTGCATCAACGGTCTCCAAGATCGCCAGTGCCCAGTCAAAGCAGCAAATGTACATGAACAAAAGCATCTGCATTAGTGCGATGGGTTGGTACCTTGCCTCCGTCCGAGGTGAACGGGTAGGGTGGCACCCCTCCCCCTTGGTCCGTCCGCCCAACGGTGGCCGAGAGTGAGAGTCTAAGGGGACTGACAGCCCATCTTCCTCCCCTCCAACAGGCCAACTAGCCAACGCCGCGCCAGGCAGAGCCGTAGACGGTCCGTAGAATGGCAGTGCTCTGGGAGGAATGGAGCTGCCTGAGGATTTTTGCCTCGAGTCGAAACATGATCGCGGGTAAGACAATCATTACCTTGTATCTCGCCGAGAAGAACCGAGAGTGGGCATCTTGCACTGAGGTAGGTGATTCAAGGGCGTGTTCCAGTGCCCTCACAACCACCCATGAAGATATGGAGCGGCAACTTGAGCAGGAAATCCCCAAAGAGGGAAGACGGCTTTCACAGCTTCAGGTCAACATGGCCAGCGTTCGGACGAGCAGAGGGGGGGAAGAAACAATCATATGGGCAAGCTATCTCTAGGCGGGTCCAATACCATGTACATGGGCATCTAGGGCAGCGATCAAGAGGAGGGCACCAATCGATTGCTCTCAAGAGCGATGGAAGAGGTCCCACAGACGAAGTAAAGAACAAGAAACCGTGTCTGTCATTGTGACCGTGCGTAGGTACCTAGATAGATGCGTGCGTGTGTGTCGAACTGAGATGTACGTATATATGGAGCAGGTACGAGTGGCGTGGGAAAGAGAAGCAACTACAACATAGAGACAGAGCGAGGTATCTGAGTACCCGGGGCGTTGGCGTGGTCTCCAGCCTGAGCCAAGTCGCGACAACAAACGACTACCTAGGTACCTGTCATGTAGTAGGAATGCTGTTGCGAGCTGTAGCTTGGAGTTGGTAGCGTCCACGGTATGGGCCAATCAATGCAAGGCTGAAAAGTGACACGGGTGATCAAAGTGGTATCAAACTGCATGAGCCCATGAAGGTGGGGGAGGCGTTTTAGGACAGCTAGCCAGGCCTGGCTCTGCTGGGTGTGTGCGTGGTCTGGTGGTGGTGTGTACGAGGTGAAGCTGGAAGTGAGTTCGATGGATCTGTGGCTGTTGGGTTGGGTTGGCTGTGAGAGGGTGCCAGGTGTGGTGGGAAGCGCGTCCACAGCCAGGGTAGAGGTTCTTATTCAGGGATATGCTGGGGCTGCCACAGGTACCTGGCCGGCCGCCCTAGCTGCATACTAACGACAAGTAGTGCCGGCCACCATCGCAAGTACCCGTTTATCAACAGGCGCTGGCAGGCACGACCCAGCTGTGGCACCCATGCTAATCATGGCGTCACCAGACCTCTTGCCTCTGTGGGGAGCGGCCACAGACGCGCCTAAGCCCGGCCCTGGTGAGACGCTAACACAGCACCTGCTGGTGGTTGACAAGAACAATATGCTATTGACCAGACTCATCGCTCGCCGTATCAATAGGCCGACCCTGGCTCGAGCGCTTGTTTCAATCGGCGGTCCCGAGTGAATGGAAATAGACGTCGTTCCAGCACAATATTGAGCCTGCTCGCGCTGTTAGCCGCCGCGCCTCTGCCAATTGGCTGCCATCACCAACACATATGCAGCAGACCGAGCCCAAGTGCGTTTCAGGCCACCGAACAAACAAAGTTATCCCTACCCGTCCTCTTAACTCCGATCCGCCATCTCAGATTCTCTACATCGCCAGGCTCATCCCAGCATCCCAAGGAGTGCATAAGGCAAGGGCGATGTGGTTGTTGTTGGACACCAGTGCCATGTTCGCTCACCCATGCCTACTCGGCTGACCCAGCGCTATTCACGACCGCGGCCATGCACTAGGCCAAAGGGTTCTCCAGACTACAATTAGACACTTACGGTGATGGGGCATAGCGCAACCAGTTCAGCCGATTTGTATTGATGAAGCGTATAGTGCAGCTCAGACAACACCCACTACCGAACGGATAGCCTGCGCTGACAGGCCCACTATCCAGCTGCATGAAATGATCAACTGCTGCACGCCGGCACGTACATACGTACACAGCAGCTCGCAGGTAGATCTCTGGGCTTGAGCCGACCAGGTCCGAGGGAAAGTCTGGATAACCTAGCTCGAGACGGTGGAGTAGGGCCTTAGCGCATCATTCGATGAGAAAAGAGTCGAGCAAACCCGGGCTGTCAATGAGACCCCTGCGGGCTTCACGTCATTGGCCGCTTATTGCCCAGCCGCATCGAATCGTGCCAGAGCCAACCATTGATTCTATTTTGAAAAGAAAGCTTCCAGCACCCAGCCACTACCATGACCTAGGTCCCCGGTTTAAATGTCTATTCTTGCTTCCCGAAGGCTACGGTTGGAGCCCATGCTGCTCCAAGCTACCGCGACTCCTCGCGACTGGAAACCACAACACACCAGTTTCAGTCGTCACAACAGTCACAACCACATCAAGGCCCTAAAATCGTATGGCACGAGGTCTTGGATGGCTAACACCTCAGTGCACGAGCCTCGAGGGGAAGCTGCGGGCTAACCACTCCGGCCTCCTGGACTCGAGAGCAGCACGCACTTCTTTTCCTAAACGAAGAGGAAGGCCGACAACCTGGACTACCTGAAAAAACCGGGGTAAGAGTGGCTGGCTAGCTGTGGCTAACCTGGCTTAGATCCATTACAGAGGCAACCCTCCCCTCCAACCCGAGCGCAGCCAAAAGCAAACATCAGTCAGCAGCAGCGACACCTCGTCCGAGCAGCATTTACTCAGAGAGGTAAGTCTGTGTATGTACGCATCCTCGAGTCATCCCTAGACACCGACGACTAGTTGGCCACACCTAGTAGCTCGTGCCCAATTTGGGAGCGGATAACCTGCATAAAGCCATACATGGTAATCAGACACCGAAAAGACTCCACAACCCAGTGTAGCTCACCCAGTTCAGGCCTCCAGGGGGTGCTTTCCTGCTTTCCCCCTGGATGTCTGAGGTCCGAGAAAACACTCTCTCGCGGTTATGAACAAGACAGAGATCCACGAACCTAATTCCCCCACAAGGAGTAATGGTTCGTCGCATATCGGAAACGACAAGGTACAGCCTGGGATCGTCGATCGCTCTAGACACAGGGATGGACCAACATGGGATGGGATGGGATTTCAACAATCCCCTTCTTACGCAATTCCCCAGACTGAATGGTCATCTGCCTCCTTTAATGTTCTGCCCCTCCCTGTCCCTGGCAAAAAAGTTTAATTGAAATAATCAATATCAAGTGAGTCCTTCCTTCACATCCCCTTGGGCTGCCTCCTGCAACGACAGGAGTAGTGCTCCAGCAGTAGTGAGAGTGCTGCGTAGCTCATCAGGGCTCTCCTCCCCTCTCCCTCCTGCAAGAGGGGATGTGGGGGTGTTTAGGTTATCAATTTCAACTTGCAGCTCGCATTAGCATGCACATATCCTGCTGGCAATGATATTATGTGGGTTTAGTTCGCAAATCAAACCTGCCAGCTTGGCACTACCGGAGAACGTCAGGCAAGGTAGTATCCGGCAGTTGGGAGCAGTGCCCTTGTTCGCCTGAGCTATAGACGCAGGATTTACGAGCCGCATTGGCGCTCGCTGCGAGACCTCCCGCTTTTGCAGTAGTCGCGAGGACTTACCAGGTCTCTGGTGTGTAGTGCGGGCGGCAAACGGATCATGTACGACTGTGCAGGGTAGGCTTCTTAGTTGCAGGATGCCCTTGAGCGAAGCGGGACATACTACGCCAGACTGCCTCCACTACGGACCTCTGCTCTTGAATAGGGTAGTCAAGTGCGAGCTTGTGACCAGGCCCGTATCGTAAGTGCTTGCTACTGTACTTGCAGTAATTCTTGGTTAGGCGGTTACCAGACTGTATATATGTGGCGAGATGCCGAGGAAAATCGGTCCCCCTGCCCATCGCCAAGAGCACTACTGCACTATGACCAGAATGCGGCAGCCCGTTTTCTCTGTGCGACAACAAAAAAAAGCAAATAAATACAAAAAAAGCCAACGGGGAGAGCTATGCCCTTTCCCCGTCTTGCTCTAACCTCCATTTCAATGGGCTCGGGTGGATGGATGGTGGTGATCATGATGCATGCAAGCAGCTTAGGGTAGGGGAGGTGGCTGCAGATGGAAGGTTCCGGTGCAGGAGACGTCTCACTTCTCCTATTGCTTTGACCTAACCCGTGGTGACTATCGATGCATGAAGGCTTTTTGGAACATGATGGCAAAGATCGGAACTTTTATTTTACTAGGTACTTGATTCATTAGTCTTCCACGGCATCTTCCGTGGAGAGCTCTTGCTCCTGGAGAACCTCCTCCATCTCTGCCTCCGTAGCTTCTAGACCCTCCGAGCTCATCAGTTTGTTGTCCTTGTCCTCCGCTGTAGAGTAGAGAGACGATCGTTAGCTTGAGTTGAATGCTTATTGTATGGAGGAAGGACTTACTTCTAGGTTCTACTAAGAGGTTCTCCTGGACCTCAACATCAGTTAGTACGGAGCCGGCCCCAATGACGCATCTCTTCCCCAAGATGCACTTTGTCAGCTTGCAGCCCTTTCCAACTACGACTCCATCCATGAGAAGACATTGGGAGAGCTTTGCCCCCTCGTTGATCTGGCAGTTAGCGCCAATCACGCACTCCTTGATTGATGTCTTCTCCTCAATGGTGACGTTGTTGTCGATCAAGCAGTCTTGCTTCGTAATCGTGGTGCGAGACTTGACGCCCTCAGGGTACGCAATCTTCTTGCTGTGAGCATATGGGGACGATGCCTCTGGTCCACTCTCTTCGAGCGAGGGAATCTTGGCAAGCTGCAGAGAGAGCGCAAGGAGAAGTTGAGCGGTGTCAACACGTCTGATCAGGGACCCTGGTGCTTGGGCTTCGCCGGAATGAACGTAGGCCAGAATCGGCGGTACTTGCTTCGCGTGAGCGCTCTTGGGAGAGTCAGACTCCCGTCTCAAGTCCTGACCCAAGTAAGCAGCCGTCAGGAGCGAGCTCTGGTATACTGAAGAGCCACCAGGTACGCTAGGTTCCTGGTGGGAGTGGCCACTGGTGGGCGAGTCTGGGTTGGCATCGTCATCCTTGGTGTGCTTCTGTTCACAAACATCGAGGACGTGTAGCTTTTCCGCGAGGCCCTTCTGCCAGCCAGCCTTGGCCCACCATCCCACCACGTCCTCTCCAATGCTATCGAATCGCTCGTTTTCTTTGACAAAGTCTATGATCCACTTGGGGAAGATGTATATGTGGGCATCTCGGTGGGTGGTGAGCATGCGGACACGAGGGTGAGCCTTCACCAAACCATGGCGGATGGGGACGCCCTTTCTCTCCTCCGTCAGATCCTTCAATGAGTCTGTGGGAATAGAATAGACAAGGTTTCTCAACTTGGGAATGAGAGAGTCCTTGGGGGTCGGGGTAGGCGTGGGGGCTATAGGCGCCGTGGCGATGAAGTCTGTTTCCTCCTTCTTGATGGGGACGATCGCTTTGGTATCATACCAGACGCCGAGACCTCCGCTGCTGGGGATGTTCTTCCCATTGCTCAGTTTCAAGCTGCTTAAGAGATCGGTCAGACTGGCTGACTTGACCATCCATGCCTGGAGAAGCTTTTCGCCGCCAACTTCACAGACCAAGTCGCAGGGTAGGACGATGAAGTCGGACTTGACCAGGTTTCTGACTTCCGGCAGACGTAGAATCTCAGCTGTTCCGGTGTTGTAGTCCAGATCAGCCGGTGCGAGCACGTCAGGCCGCGGCAACGGTAGAGCAGTCAGATAAGGGTTTGTGTTGACTGCGGTGTTGATGGCTTGCGAAGCTGATGGTGGGCAAACCAATGTGATATCTGAGAATTACAGTTAGCTTGCATCTTATTAAAAGATGCGGTTTAATTTATTGCGACGCGGGTTTTGTTGAATGAATGCCTTTTCGTAACTTCCCTCTCCATGTTCGGAGCGCTTCAGTGTGACTCACCTGTAACACCCATTCGGTAGCAGAAATCGATGGGATACCAGACCATGGGCCGATTGGCAATCGGAAGCAGCGCTTTGGGATGCTCATCTGGGTTTGAGGTGAAGGTTGGAAACGAGGACCCTGGGCCGCATAGAATGAGGGCTTGAAGCCCGGTCGAGGCCATCGACACAGCGTGGGGCATCCTGGTATCTTCCACAAGCCACGAAAAGATCCAGCGAGGGTTGGTTGGCTTGGACTGCTAAGAGAGCGATGCCGTGCTTTGGTCAAGATGATATGACCTGTCTCAGATTCCACAAGCCCTCAGCTTTGGGAAATATCTGGCGCCTTCAATGCAGTCACAAGTTTCATGCGGTGGCCCACGTCAAAAAGAGTCATTATCAAAGGCCGATTGAGGCTACAGGAAAATCGTGGCTGAAATGTGGCTAGTGTGGACACTAGCCACATGTTGTGCCTCCTTTCACGTGTGGACTCTCCTGGCTCGGCTCGGCCATTTGCCCCTGTTTTGAGGCCAGCCAATGGCACCGCCCCATCCTGGTTTGTTTGCTGATTGAGATGAAATGGGGTTCCACCTTGTTGACGGTTCGCGATGCCAGCCCCCCATCTAGCTATAACACCACGCCTGTTACCCCAGGCTTTTCCGATTGACAATTCGAATCGTATCCGAGGAGCAGAAACATCCGCTTGGCCAGCCTCCCGCCCCAGCGTGCAGAATCCCTCTCCGCCAAGAGGATTAACACGCGCACCCTTGGTCACCTCGAGTGACTTCCGACAGCTTCCTGCCGAGCAATGCGACACCATACCGAATAGATGTCGCCTGATCCATTCGATGGCGGCTCCCGCTCCCGCCGCGGAGTTTGGAGTCATTGGGTGCCTCTCGCAATCACCCTGACTGTCGCGACAGCTGGAGTTGCAGCCTGGGCTTGGAGCCAGCGCAAGGATTCAGATGACGACGACGAGCCAGGCCTGGACTACGACAATGCCGACTATGGCGACAACCCGGCCTACGGTGCTTCGAGGACCGAGTTTACTCCCTCTAAGCCCCCGCGGTCACAGCAGCCTCCTTATGCGGATGATCAGCAAAGCTTTGGAGTAGCGCCGGGACCGTCCAGCGAGGCGTCCGCGCCTGGATGGGGCGCAAGAATGTCCGGTGCGCTCCGGCGAACACCCAGCCCGCAGCAGCTCATTGATTCTACTGGGAAATCTGTCGCTGCTGGGTTCGCTGCCATGGGTAAGGCCCTAGCATCAATCCGCGAGGAGGACAAGTATTCCGAGAATAACCCTTGGTCGGAAGAGGCAGATTTGAAGCAAGAACGTGCCCCCGCGTCGACAAGCAAGAAGAGGAAGACTGTCGTCCTCGTCGTTTCGGCAGACTCGTCCCTTTCGGAGGCCGATAGTGGTGGGTATCATGAGCATGCGGTAAGACAATTCACATTCTGTATGGGGAAATAGGAACTGATCTAACACGCCCGAAATAGTCAATTCTGTCCCACATTCCTCGGCATAATGACTTCTCGAAGATCAAGCTCTTCATTTTGATTTATGCACCGAGCTTGAAGGACACACCCCTGGACCCCGCTGCATCTAGTAACCTTCCGCCTCCTTCGTTGAGCTCATCATATTCTAACATTGAGCACAATCAAGCTCAAACTCCAGGAGATGAAGCCAAGAGCCCACAGTACGTGCATAGGAGAGAAGAGCTGACAGCGACGAACATGGCTAATTTTTCAATCAAGGCTGAACGCCTCTACCAACCCAGCATTCAATGCTGTGTACTCACAGGCGCTGTCGCTTGTCGACAAAGAAACCATGGTGATTCCATTCACTACCCCGAATGGTCATGTACACATTCTACGTCATCTTCAGCCGGAGGTTGTTTATCTCCAGGAGTCTCTTTCAGGGGACAATGGTAGCATTATCACCAACCTGCAAACTTGGCTGCGCTACGACGTCATCTTGGTTGTGGGGGCTGAAAGCTCTGGTGGTCTTGCCGACAGCGAGTCTGAGGCGGAGAGAAACACCAAGGTTACGAAATGGTGGCAGAGGCCCGAGAGGGTCGGTCGTGGCCGCGGTGTTGTGGTTGTTGATGGTGGCAGGGTTCATGATGATTGGACGCGCCGCGTTCAGGGCCTGGAATAGCCCAATTGAGGCTGATTCATGTTTGGGAGAGGCAAAGAGGCTGGCTTTTGAATATAATGCATATTTGAGTGCTCCGCTTTTGGTTGAAGGAGCTTGTCTGTGTTTTCGATGAATTTTCCGTATTTACCTTCTTACGTTGATGTAGAACGTTGATGTCATTACCAAGATATGAAGTGGATAGCCAGCGCGCTTAAAAAGCGGAACGATACTTGCGACGATTCTTTGCTCTCTACATGCTGTGCTACACGCGTTATCGGTGTGTGAAACGCGAACTGTAAACCAGAATTGTCCCGTGGCCGATCAAAGCGCTGCAACAATGCTCACATGGCCAAATTTCTGACAACCGAGCTGCCTATATGCGAGACTGAGACGGTGGTTTGAGGTTCCGGCTCGGTGGTGGATGCGGCCAGTCACGTGACTATCGCCGGCCATGCTTTGTCACACGTGCAGCCTCAGGCCAGGCACACCACCACAGTATGGAGAGGCGCCTCATCTGCAGCATCCCATTGACCTGGTATGGCGTAAGATCGCGAGCGATCTACCCCCCCGGTTTTGCCAACGTACGACCATTTGATATTCTATTTTCTCTATCACGTTTATTGTTGCTTTCTTTCGCATCCTCATGGATTGATTGGATGTAATAATTCTCCCGGGAATGCGCCACATTGGATGGGCAGGCTACTCTCAACTGCCGATTTCCGAACGCCATCGTTTCGCTTGACATCAGACTTGGATCCTCGCCGACAAGGTTACGCAGACGCTTCACCTAGATCCGACCTACTTATATTCTTTCCTGCATCGCCACTCCTCGAGCATATTACCCGTGAAAACATATTCGATGCCCGATCCTTGACGCGACATCTTGCCGCCGCGACTGCTTTGATATAGGGACAACAGCTGCCTTCGCGCAGCTGTGATTTCAGCAATCATGGCTCCTGTAGGACCTGTTGTTGTGCAGAACCCCATCAGCAAGATGAAGCGTCCTCCGCCACCGGGCATTCAGACCAACGGAGCGGTCGCCACGACCCCCTCGCCGTCTCCCTCAGCTTCGGCCAAGAAACCTCCGCCAAGCGCGAAGCAACCCACCCCCAATCCGGGGGTGGAGCGCAACATCACAACCTCAACTGTGCGACCGGTAAATCGGGTTCGCCGCGACACGATAACACAACTCGGCCGAAATTCAAGGAATAGCACAGGCTTGCGGTCTTCTTCAGTGGTGGCCGATCCGCAAGGCCTGGATGGGGGGCCCCGGCCGTATGGTGAGATATCCCGGCGCCAATCCGGACCGGGTCTTCGGTGTTGCTAACATGTCCCAGTTGTTACCGATAGTTACGTTCTCAAGAGAAATGCTGGTAAACGGCCATCATTAGTGGTGCATCTGCACCCCAACCATTTCCGATTCGACGGACAGGACAGCATCTTCTCCTACGTATCCCCAATGCGGATGTTTCTTCAACACCTCAAGACGAGGACGATCCCCCATGACATCCTGGAATACCTAGTCCAGGCTAACGTTCCATTCTACGACGGTTGTCTAATTGTTCGAGTTCATGATCATAAGTCAACAGCTAAGAGCCAAGAAACCGCTCGTCCAACATCATCTTCCAACGCCCCCGACCCCTCATCCGTTCATAGCCGCAGCCAATATCTTACACCTTCGCCCTACGTTGCCTTTCCGAAGGAAGGGACTGTACTGGCAGAGGAAGCCAATCCCGCGGAAGCGGAAGCAATCAAGGAGGAAGCGAAAGAAGACAAAGAGAAAGAAAACTCAACGTCAACTACGCACCAGGATGGGCAGAAATCAAAGACTCCAGCTAAACCTAAAGTCTATACCTTGGTATTACACCCGACTTCCGAGAGCTTACAGCGAGATTTACTCATCAAGGCGACTACACCTGCTGGCGGAGATGGGCGGCAAACAGCAGACGGGGCAAATGGTGTCCCTCCCTCGACACCTATGACGTTGGTTCCTCCTACCCCGACAGCTGCCACAATGCCACCTCCGGCAAAACGGCAAAAGAAGGTTAAAATGGAGCTCGAACCAAACAATCTTGCTGCTGCAGAAGGCCAGATTTTACTGGCAACTGAAGCACCCCTATTCTTAGAGCCTACCAAGACTTTGGAGGAGCAAATAATCCTCCTGGATGCGATGGCGCATCCCAAGCATTCTGGACCACCGCCCCAACCAAAGACTAGGAAGAGAACAGTCGCAGAGATGGCAGCGGATGAGGCAGCGGCGGCTGAACAGGAGCGCTACATGCTTCTCCTGGATGAACGGTCCGGTACCACAAGCGCGCAGAATGCCGGCGGCACAGACAGCGATGCTCAGAATGGCACAACCGCATTTGAGCCTAGATTTGAACGATTTAAGGTTATTGCAGATATCAAACGCGAACATGCGGAGAAGAAAGAGCAAGAAAAGATCAAGCAACAGGAGAATGATAGGCGACTCCAGCAGCAGAGATTGCAACAGCAACAAGAACAGGCGCAGGCGGCACAGAAGCAGCAGGCTGAGGCTGCAGAGAAGGCAAGACGTGAGGCTGCCATCAGAGAAAACCACGCCCGACAGCAAAGCGAAGCACAAAGAGCAGCAATGGCTGCCAGAGCATCACAAGCCACTACGCCCGCTGCACCGCCGAAGCAGGTCAGCACACCACAAAACAGTGCCCCTACTCCGCATGTCCACCCCCAGCAAAACCCCATTGCTCCTAATAACATGCCGAATGGCGGTCAAGTTGTACCACAACAGCAGCCGAATGCTGTTCAGAACGCTGTCATGGCTGGACAAGCCCAGGCTCGTTTTCCTGCTCAGATACAGCAGCAAGTCGTGTCGGCGCAATCACCTATTATCCGCCAGGGCACTCCCCAAAACCATTCGTCGCCCATGGTTAACAACAGTGTACCAATGCAGCAGACGAGTTCTGCCATGGCTGCCAGTCCTCCCCGACCATCCTCTGTGGTACAAAACCCGCCCATGTCTGTTCCCATGGCGCATAATATGTCTGCTAGGGGGAGTCAGCAAAGTCACCCCTCAGGGACGCCACGCATGCCGCACTCTACTCCTAACATGGCCCATGGCACTCCTATCAGCCGACCGGCAATGGTTGCAACGCCTCGTATGACCCAGGCGAGCCCGCCCCCTAACATGATGGCACAGAACTCCCAGATGGGTCAGATGATGATGATGAACAACCAAAACCTGGCCCAGCAAAACCCACAATTGATGGCGCAGTTCGCTGCACAACGTGCGATGCAACAACAGCAGCAGCAGCATCTCCAGCAACAGCAGCAGCATAATATGCAGGGAGCCAATATTAATGGGAACATGGTCGCACAAATGTCACCACAGCAACAGCAGCATATGATGCAGATGATGCAGCAGCGACAGCAATTTCTTGCTCAACAACAACAGCAGCAGCAGCAGATGCAGCAGCAGCAAGGAGGCATGCCTACTCAGCAACAACTCGCTCAGCAATATTCTCAGCAGCTACAAAACATGCAAGGCAACCAGATGCGCCAAATGACGCCCCAGATGCAGGCCCAGTTGCAAATGGCTAGGATGCAGCAGCAACAGGCGGCCCAGCAGGCGGCGGCCCAGCAGCAGATGGGTGGTAATACCATGCAGAGGCAGGTCAGTGGCCAGATGATGAACGGAAACAACGCGAACATGCAGGCTATGCTCCAGATGCAGCAACAGCAACAGCAGGCAGTACAGCAGCAACGGCAAATGAGCCAGCAGCAGCAGCAACAAAGCCCCGTGCAAATGCAAATCCATCAGACAGCAAGGAACGTCTTTGCTAGGATGATTCAGGAGACTACTGCTAAGTACGGTGGCCGGGATCAGGTCCCAGAAGAGGTGGTAAATCAAGTGAAGGCACAGTCTATTCAGCAGGCGCACATGATTGTTAAGAACACGATTGCTCAGCGTCAAGCTGCACAGCAAAACCAATTGCTGATGCAGCAGCAGCAACAGGCTATGCAAGGAATGGGGGGCATGATGGGCCCCCAGATGTAAGACTAACAACTACTTTCTTGAATGATCGAAGTTGTGAAAGGAAGGTTGTCTATTTTGACAGAGGAGAGGACGAACCGTGTCACGAAGGGGGGACAGATCGTGGCCAAGAGCGGCGTTCGCAGGCTGGGACAGGAGGGTTCCAAAAGGCTTTTATATTTATCGTTTCCCGGCCCCGGTGCTTAATACCCATGGAGAGCGTTGTTTTCCCGGTTTGGTTTTGGATTCATGAGTTAGGATCACGTTGTGCTTTAGGATTACATGCATTGGGGAGTCATTACTGGGCAGGCGAACGTCGTATTTGTGTCCAAAAATGGTGTCGTTATCTAAAATACTCTTGGCTCTCTAGAGTAGTTCAATTGATGCCCTATGATGAACTATGACTCCGAAATAACGTCAAATGCTCCAGCGATGCATGCCTGATTTGTCTCCCTAGTGAATATCGTGGTATGAGTTGGGGGTGCACGTGATTGACACGTGCTGACTAATAGGAGGTATGACACAAGCGCCAAGACAGGTAGTCGAGCCAATTCGTCACGTCGGGATCTCCAACCAGGCACGAGATCAGGTCAACTGGCCATTATCAGCAAGCAACACTCTGTAATTCTCATCATTCTTCTTTACCCAACTGCCCAGAACTGTAGAGAGCTGCTTAGCCCGTGGTTTCAGCTTCTTCCTCTTCTCTGCCATCGTCGATCATTTGTTTCCTTATCTTCATCTTCATAAGCAGGCACATCCAACAGCGCATTCTCAATGCATTCGTCACAGCTATCTCCGCTCGCTCTATCCCTCCTCCTAGCGGTTTCGCCGGCATCGTCAACCAGCATCCTGCACTGCGACAACCTGGTAGTTGACAAGCACAGGTTCGATCTTTCGGCGCTCACGGGACCCCACTCCGTCGTTACGTCGCGGTACAACTCGATAGCAGACAACTACCACAACACAACCTATACTCTCGACATCTGTCGTCCTCTGAAGAAGACCGGCA